ATTTATTTCAAAGTTCATTTATTAGGTATAGCCCTGTGAGCCATTCGGCTCTTGAATCGGGTGCAACCGCAACAAACAAAAACATGAAACAAGAAACATCTTAAAGTGACTAAGTGCAAACAGAAAATCCAAGAAAAGACAGCAAAATATTGCAGAAAAAATCACCGTACACCAACCCTGTGCAAAAATCCCAGTGGGTTGCAAGTCAAACAACAACAACCACAAGACAACTTAGATTAAGGCCATCAGTCTAACTCTGTACTACAAAAACAAACATGGCCAAACCAAAAAACTTTGAATGAATGCAAGGGACAGAGTGAAGAGTGAGACGGGGAATGCGTCAAGAGTCATGCAGTGGTCGGCTCTTCTGTGCGTGTGTGGAGGCGAGGCTGGTGGATCACGCGGACAATCTGCGACAACTGCCAACATCTACTGGGCTACGGGAGGCGGTACAGAAAGTTGATCCGTGAATCCATCTGTGCGGAGCTCTGAGTGTCGCCCCCTCGTGTATAGCGGTGCGGTGCGGGGTATTCTCCGCGTTGTCCGGTTCCCTCCTCCCACACGAGGCCAAGCAGCTCTCTGCTGCCAGTCGATTCGTGGCCAAGAGATCCCAGCGGTAGCAGGGCCTGCCTGTAAAACGAGTCCTGAGACTCCATGAGGCTGTCCTGCGTGTATATGGGACGCCACGGTGGTGGTGAGGTGTTAACTACCTCGCCTGGTATACAGGAGGTCGTGGGCTCGGATCCCCACCGTGACCCCGCTGTATATTTGCAGTTTGCGTGTCTCTCTCCCCGTGGTCGCGTGGATTTTTCTCCGGGTCCTCTGGTTTTTCCCTCCCACATTTAGAATCAACACGCGTTCAGAGTATTTGGCTGCTGCTCTAAATGTCCACGTGATGATGACGATGACGAGCCACTTGGTTGAGCTCTCATTTGTGGGCAGGTCACTTCTGAGAAGAGCTACATAGCTCAGTGGGCCTTGCCTGGTAAACTAAAATAGTTTTAATTTATATTGGGCAACAGACTAGCGAGTGTGCCGTGTTCTCTGAAGTGAGTGAGAGAGTGGTGAGGTGTGAGGAGAACACGAGGGAGGGGAGTGTGGATGATGGAGTGTGGTATGAGGAATAACACGAGTTTGTCCAACCGTGAGGGGTCGGTGATGCGAGTGTGAGTGAGTACGTGAGTGAGTGAGAGTGAGTGAGTGAGCGAGTGTGTAATTGAGAGTACGTGAGTGAGTGAGAGTAAGTGAGTGAGCCACCATGGATGAGAGAGTGAGTGAGTGAGCCACCATGGATGAGAGAGTACGTGAGTGAGTGAGAGTGAGTGAGCCACCATGGATGAGAGAGTGAGGTGAGTGGAGCCACCATGATGAGAGAATACGTGAGTGAGTGAGAGTGAGTGAGTGAGCCACCATGGATGAGAGACGTGAGTGAGTGAGCCACCATGGATGAGAGAGTACGTGAGTGAGTGAGAGTGAGTGAGCCACCATGGATGAGAGAGTACGTGAGTGAGTGTGAGTGTGAGTGAGTGAGCCACCATGGATGAGAGAGTGAGTGAGTGAGTGTGAGTGAGTGAGTGAGCCACCATGGATGAGAGAGTGAGTGAGTGTGAGTGAGTGAGCCACCATGGATGAGAGAGTACGTGAGTGAGTGAGAGTGAGTGAGCCACCATGGATGAGAGAGTGAGTGAGTGAGCCACCATGGATGAGAGATACGTGAGTGAGTGAGAGTGAGTGAGTGAGCCACCATGGATGAGAGAGTGAGTGAGTGAGCCACCATGGATGAGAGAGTACGTGAGTGAGTGAGAGTGAGTGAGCCACCATGGATGAGAGAGTACGTGAGTGAGTGAGTGTGAGTGAGTGAGCCACCATGGATGAGAGAGTGAGTGTGTGTGAGTGAGTGAGTGAGCCACCATGGATGAGAGAGTGAGTGTGAGTGAGTGAGCCACCATGGATGAGAGAGTACGTGAGTGAGTGAGAGTGAGTGAGCCACCATGGATGAGAGAGTGAGTGAGTGAGCCACCATGGATGAGAGAATACGTGAGTGAGTGAGAGTGAGTGAGTGATGTGAGCCACCATGGATGAGAGAGTGAGTGAGTGAGCCACCATGGATGAGAGAGTACGTGAGTGAGTGAGAGTGAGTGAGCCACCATGGATGAGAGAGTACGTGAGTGAGTGAGTGTGAGTGAGTGAGCCACCAGGATGAGAGAGTGAGTGAGTGAGTGTGAGTGAGTGAGTGAGCCACCATGGATGAGAGAGTGAGTGAGTGTGAGTGAGTGAGCCACCATGGATGAGAGAGTACGTGAGTGAGTGTGAGTGAGCCACCATGGATGAGAGAGTACGTGAGTGAGTGAGTGTGAGTGAGCCACCATGGATGAGAGAATACGTGAGTGAGTGTGAGTGAGTGAGCCACCATGGATGAGAATACGTGAGTGAGTGAGTGTGAGTGAGTGAGCCACCATGGATGAGAGAATACGTGAGTGAGTGTGAGTGAGTGAGTGAGCCACCATGGATGAGAGAGTGAGTGAGCCACCATGGATGAGAGAGTGAGTGAGTGAGCCACCATGGATGAGAGAGTACGTGAGTGAGTGAGTGTGAGTGAGTGAGCCACCATGGATGAGAGAGTGAGTGAGTGAGCCACCATGGATGAGAGAATACGTGAGTGAGTGAGAGTGAGTGAGTGAGCCACCATGGATGAGAGAGTGAGTGTGAGTGAGTGAGAGTGAGTGAGCCACCATGGATGAGAGAGTACGTGAGTGAGTGAGTGTGAGTGAGTGAGCCACCATGGAAGAGAGAGTGAGTGAGTGAGCCACCATGGATGAGAGAGTGAGTGTGAGTGAGTGTGAGTGAGTGAGCCACCATGGATGAGAGAGTACGTGAGTGAGTGTGAGTGAGTGAGTGAGCCACCATGGATGAGAGAGTGAGTGAGTGAGCGTGTTACACATCATGCCCTGCTCGACGTGTCTCTGCCTTCCCGTAGCCCGAGCGTGGTTGCTAGACGACGGGCCGGTTCCCACGGCAACGCGGTGATGGCTCGGCTCGTTAGGAGCAGCACCTCGTGACTGTTCACGATGGACGCGGCGGCGACAACCAAACGCCATCGCCGCCGGTCCACTGCCTTTGAAACCAAGTCACAGCGCAAAGGTTTTCCAAGCAAAATTTGCCGTTCAAAAACCCAACGAGTTTGTACCATCAGCTTTGAGAGTGTGTGGGTGGCGACGAGGAGGAGGAGGAGGAAGACGGAGGGTGAAACGCGGCCACGTGCCGCGGGTCTCGGCAGGGCAGCGTGGGACCCGGCGACTCCAGTTCGATTCCCGCTCACTGCCCCAACATTGGTGATGAATATCTGAATCGGTTATGGGCCTCCCCTAGGTAGACTTAGCCTTAAATGAGTACCTGGTATGGTGTGAAAAATAAAAATGAGCATTGGGGAGACAAAGGCGGCTGTGCTTGGTGCTGGCCACTCACCCCCCTCGTGTGCCGTGACCGGCATTATAGGTCTGTTTCAGGCTACACGTGAGCTGATTGTCTTCTGTGTAGTTTATTCATTGGTGTGTGTGTGCGTGTTTCTGTATGTGCGTGCAGAGTGTATTGTGAAGGAGTGATAATGGTCGGTTTGAGGCGTGTGCTTGGAGTGTCGCCACATATCGGGCGACCTCACAGTCGCTGAAAAGGCCCCAAATGACTCTCGTGTGTGGGGTGGGGGATGTCACTGGAGGCAATGGTGACCTGCAGTGGTGGACAGAGTCACCGGTTTGAAACGTGCACAAAGCTGAAATGCACCGTGACCACCATCCCCAGAGTGCGAGTCAGTATATGCTGAGTATCGTACGTCCGACACCATCATATATAACCCCAACACGTTCGTCTATAACGCTGTGTGCAGCCTTCACGGATGATATTGGTCGCGAAAGCCGACGTGTAAAACTTAAAATAAATAATTTATAATTGGTGACGTTTCAGGGCAATGGCCCTTCTGAAAGTGCTGATGGTTTGAGCCTCGTCACCAATGTCTGCTCAAACGTCTGTCTGATTCTCGCTGGGATATTGAACGAATCGTCTTGTACACGTCTCAACCATTCGTGTCAGTGGGTGTCTGCATCGGTCCTGGGCTTCCCCGAGATCGACTCGTCCATGAATTAGTTCTCGGTGCGTCGTGTTAAAACATTATCACTGGGGAGACAAAGGTGCTGCTTGCTAACAGCACTTGCCCCAACAGCCTTTCAAGGCTATATGGGGGATCTCTGTCTTTGTGGTGTGTGTGGTGCAGGCAGCGTCTCTTTCGAGGGAAGAAGATTTTACAGGACCATGACATCGTGGTGGAACAGGTGGGAGCTGGGGGGGGGGGGGCTAAGTGTGGGGGGGGCGCTGATGATGGTAATGGTGGTTCTATTGCTGCTGATGATGATTCTGATGTTGATTGCATTGGTTTTGCCGACACCTATGATCAAATCAGCCCAGAATGCGCCCCAGTCCCGGCAGGTCTCAGAAGCTAAGCAGGCTTGAGCCTGGTTAGCCCCTGGATGGGCGACCGCCACCTTGACAGGCCGGTGCGGGAGGCAGCTGCCCAGCGACATTGACAGCAGCAACATCCATTGCGTTGTACTGTACTTCTCTGCTCCGACATCAATGCTCCCCGCCTTCACCAACCCGCACTATAACTCCTACAACCCGTGCGGCGTGGGCAGGCCCTCATCCAGCAGTGGATAAGCAAATGGGGCCCTACACGTGCGTGGCAATGCCGCTGATCTGAACCCACAGCCCGACCAATCGCCACCCCTGGCCCCTACCCAACCGCAGCTCGAACCATTGCCAGGCTGTGCTCTGACGAAGCCGCGACGGTGACACTGCCGTGATGGTGCCGTGATGCTGCCGTGATGGTGCCGTGACGCTGTCTGCTGTGATGGTGCCGTGATGCTGCCGTGATGGTGCCGTGACGCTGTCTGCTGTGATGGTGCTGTGACGCTGCCGTGATGGTGCCGTGACGCTGTCTGCTGTGATGGGCCGTGATGCTGCCGTGATGGTGCCGTGACGCTGTCTGCTGTGATGGTGCCGTGACGCTGCCGTGATGGTGCCGTGACGCTGTCTGCTGTGATGGTGCCGTGACGCTGCCGTGATGGTGCCGTGACGCTGTCTGCTGTGATGGTGCCGTGACGCTGCCGTGATGGTGCCGTGACGCTGTCTGCTGTGATGGTGCCGTGACGCTGCCGTGATGGTGCCGTGACGCTGTCTGCTGTGATGGTGCCGTGACGCTGCCGTGATGGTGCCGTGACGCTGTCTGCTGTGATGGTGCCGTGACGCTGCCGTGATGGTGCCGTGACGCTGTCTGCTGTGATGGTACCGTGACACTGCCGTGATGGTGCCGTGACGCTGCTGTGATGGTGCCGTGACGCTGTCTGCTGTGATGGTGCCGTGACGCTGTCTGCGATGGTGTCGCGATGTCCCCGACTCCCCTAGGCCGAGTTTGGAGACATCGGGTTGGTGGCGCAGTCCGGGGAGCCGTGCGTCGTCACCGTGAGACAAAGCCACAACCTCCGGCAGCCGAGCAGGTGAGGAGCTCGCTCCACCCTGGGGCTGCCTCCACCCTGGGGCTGCCTCCACCCCAGGTTGCCTCCACCCCAGGTTGCCTCCACCCTGGGGTTGCCTCCACCCCAGGTTGCCTCCACCCCAGGTTGCCTCCACCCTGGGGCTGCCTCCACCCTGGGGCTGCCACCACCCTGGGGCTGCCTCCACCCCAGGTTGCCTCCACCCCAGGTTGCCTCCACCCTGGGGCTGCCTCCACCCCAGGTTGCCTCCACCCTGGGGCTGCCTCCACCCCAGATTGCCTCCACCCTGGGGCTGCCTCCACCCCAGGTTGCCTCCACCCCAGGTTGCCTCCACCCTGGGGCTGCCTCCACCCCAGGTTGCCACCACCCTGGGGCTGCCTCCACCCTGGGGCTGCCTCCACCCAAGGTTGCCTCTACCCCAGGTTGCCTCCACCCTGGGGCTGCCTCCACCCCAGATTGCCTCCACCCTGGGGCTGCCTCCACCCCAGGTTGCCTCCACCCCAGGTTGCCTCCACCCTGGGGCTGCCTCCACCCTGGGGCTGCCTCCACCCCAGATTGCCTCCACCCTGGGGCTGCCTCCACCCCAGGTTGTCTCCACCCCAGGTTGCCTCCACCCCAGGTTGCCTCCACCCTGGGGCTGCCTCCACCCTGGGGCTGCCTCCACCCCAGATTGCCTCCACCCTGGGGCTGCCTCCACCCCAGGTTGTCTCCACCCCAGGTTACCTCCACCCCAGGTTGCCTCCACCCTGGGGCTGCCTCCACCCTGGGGCTGCCTCCACCCCAGATTGCCTCCACCCTGGGGCTGCCTCCACCCCAGGTTGTCTCCACCCCAGGTTGTCTCCACCCCAGGTTGCCTCCACCCCAGGTTGCCTCCACCCTGGGGCTGCCTCCACCCTGGGGCTGCCTCCACCCCAGATTGCCTCCACCCTGGGGCTGCCTCCACCCCAGGTTGTCTCCACCCCAGGTTGCCTCCACCCCAGGTTGCCTCCTCTCTGGGGCTAACGCCACCTTGGTACGACCTCCTCACCAGAGCTAAATCCACCCTGGGGCTTCCTCCTTCTCGGGGCTGCCTCCTCTCTGAGTCTAACTCCACATAGGCACGACCTCCTCCGTGGGGGCGACCTCGAACTTGGGGCTACATCCTGCCCAGGACTACCTTCATCACAGGGTTACTTCCAACTTGGTATGACCTGGGACTACATCCTGGAGCTGGCCACACCACCCCCTCGTGTGCCGTGCCGTCTCTGTAAAGGCTGTACGGGGGGACTTTGTCTCTGTGTGCGTTGTCCGCAGGTCGTTTGTGCCGGATTTTGTCCTCATTCGGCAGCACGTGTGCGACGGTGGGCGGGGCCAGGATTTCCGTTCGCTGCTGATTGGCCTGCAGTTTGGGGGTGTGGCCTCGCTCAACTCCCTCTCGTCCATCTACCACTTCTGTGACCGGCCCTGGGTGGTGAGTCTCCACGCCGCGTCATCATTAGCAGCAGCACCAACATCACCATCAGCGTCACTCAAAATCTGCTTCAGACACTAAGGTCTCGAACTGTTACACAGCCTCACGTCGGTTCTCTACTGTTGCCCTTTCGGTGTTGAACTCTTTATCTCTTTGCACGTCCGCAACATCAAATGTACTCCGACTTTCAAGAAACATCCAAAGGCCTCTATCTGCCTGGGTCAGGCTTTCGAGCAGCCCTGAGCTTGGCTCTGCGCCTCTGAGTTGTTGACTTGTCTGCAAAATCTGGGACGTTATGATTTCATTATTATTATCATCATCAGCAGCAGCAACGGCCACATCAGCAGCGACACCAGCAACAACTCGAGCATATGAGCAAAAACATCAGCAGCATCAACATCGGCAATGTCATGTTTTGAAACGTAAACATCAACTTTAGCATAATCAGCAATATCATCATCAGCAACATTAACAACATCAGAAACATCATCATCAGCAACATTAACAACATCAGAAACATCATCATCAGTCACAGTGATATTTGAACCAGTTCTGGTCCTTCGCCAAGTCGACTCGGCCTTAAATGAGCACGTACATCGTGCGGCGGTGTAGATGGAAAGTCATCGTCACTGGGGAGACAAAGGTGGCCGGGTGCAGTGCTGGTATACGTCAGCCCAATGTGTGGCCGTGCAGGTGTTGTTCACAGCTGCTTGCCTAACAGCATTTGCTCCTACGTCCTGTGTGCCTACACGGGGGATCTTTGCCTCTATCTTTGTGGTTGTCGGTGACAGTTTGCTCAGCTGATCGGGGTGAGGAGAAAGTTGGGGGGAGAAGCGTTTCCTCTCATCACCCAGGCCTTCTACCCGGACCACAGGGCCATGGTAACTCGCCAACCCACAGAGCCACACACACTCTAGTATAGGCACAGAACCGGACACACAGCCACACAGAAAGCATGGAGACGTACGCATACATAAACACGTGTACGCACACTTATGTAGTGGGTTCTACGGAGGCGCACACTTGAACTTGGAGGCAACGCGTTTATTACACGACCCCAACAGGGTAACTACATGAACGTGCACTGGTTAACTAGACCACAACAGGGTAACTACATAACCGGGTCAGTCGGCTAACACCCACGATGCCGAGCGTGAAGACGGAGGACCGAAGAGACGTAGCGCCGATGGGTTCCATTCCCGCAGACAGCCGCCATCGCTCTCGAGACCTCCCTTTCACGCTCCTGAGAGGCGTGGCCTCGCCCTCTTCCACGCCCCCTTCTGGATCTCACCAGAAGGTTCTCGACCGAGCACCACGTGTCCCTCGAGCCACCCTTTGGGCCCCCTCGCTACCCTGTCCACGTCACGTGCCCTCTCGTGTTCTCCCAGACTGCCACGTCCCGACTTGCCCTCTCTCTGACCGTCACCAGAACCGTGCCCCCTGGGGCAGCTTCCACGCCATCCCCACTCAGGTGCCAGGGAGAGACTCAAGACGCACACTTACAGCAGCTGGCGCTCAGCGCCCTCGTGACTCCATGTACGTCACTACACTTAGACACGCGTAGCGACTGACATACACACCCACAGTTATGTACTCGCACACGCACAGACATACAAAGAAAACAACAACTGCCTTTCACCACTAATTGGCGGTGACGTCACCACGGCGCTTGTGCCATGCTAGGTGCACTTTGAGGCCGTGTGAAGGTGTGCGTGCGAGTATACAGTGTGGCCTATGCATCCCAGGTGAGCACTCAGGAGCTACCGGCGGTGGTGAAGATGGGACACACACACGGCGGCCTCGGCAAGGTGAGCACCTCACCACACTCTCACCACACTCGCCACACTCTCAACACTCTCACCACACTCACCACTCTCACCACACTCACCACACTCTCACCACACTCTCACAACACTCTCACCACACTCACCACACTCTCACCACACACTCACCACACTCTCACCACACTCTCACCACACTCACCACTCTCACCACACTCACCACTCTCACCACACTCACCACACACTCACCTCACTCTCATCACACTCTCACCACACTCATCACTCTCACCACACTCACCACTCTTACCACACTCACCACACTCACCACTCCATCTCACCACACTCACCACTCTCACCACACTCTCACCAGACTCTCACCACACTCACCACACTCTCACCACACTCTCACCACTCTCTCACCACACTCTCACCACACTCTCACCACTCTCTCACCACACTCTCACCACACTCACGACGCCCCGTGCAATGGTCCCATCGTCTCGTTTTCCCCCAAGCTCTCTCACAATAGCCTCGTTCAGTGCAAGAAACCTGCGCACACTATATACCCACACTCACCACACTCACCACACTCACCACACTCACCACTCTCACCACACTCACCACACTCACCACACTCACCACACTCACCACTCTCACCACACTCACCACACTCACCACACTCACCACTCTCACCACACTCACCACACTCACCACACTCGATACCCACACTCACCACACTCACCACACTCACCACACTCACCACACTCGATACCCACACTCACCACACTCACCACACTCACCACACTCACCACTCTCACCACACTCGATACCCACACTCAACACTCTCACCACACTCACCACTCTCACCACTGTCACCACACTCACCACTCTCACCACACTCACCACACTCACCACTCTCACCACACTCACCACACTCACCACTCTCACCACACTCGATACCCACACTCAACACTCTCACCACACTCACCACACTCGATACCCATCACCACTTTGATGGTGCTGTCTGTTACTGGCTGCTTGCCGTTGTCATTGGTGATGGAATTTCTAGCTGCTGCGCTAGTCTGGTCGATAGGTGAGGGCGGAGAGCCACAGCTGATGACAATGATGATGTTGGTCGGCAGGTGAGAGCTATGGTTTATGATGATATTGGTTGACAGATGAGAGCTATTGCTGACTGACGACGATGATGTCGATGACGATGATGATGTTGGTCGGCAGGTGAGAGCGGAGAGCCACGGGGGGTTACAGGAGCTGCCGGGGCTGCTGTCGCTGGTGCGTGCGTACGCCACCACCGAACCGTACCTGGAGGCCAAGTACGACGTGCTGGTCTACAAGATCGGGGCGGCCTACCGTGCGTTCATGTGAGCGTTACCCCTAACACTAACATTACCGTGCGTTCATGTGAGCGCTAACCCTAACACTAACACTAACCCTACCGTGCGTTCATGTGAGCGCTAACCCTACCCCTAACACTAACCCTACCGTGCGTTCATGTGAGCGCTAACCCTACCCCTAACACTAACCCTACCGTGCGTTCATGTGAGCGCTAACCCTACCCCTAACACTAACATTACTGTGCGTTCATGTGAGCGCTAACCCTACCCCTAACATTAACATTACTGTGCGTTCATGTGAGCACTAACCCTACGCCTAACACTAACATTACCGTGCGTTCATGTGAGCGCTAACCCTACCCCTAACACTAACATTACTGTGCGTTCATGTGAGCACTAACCCTACCCCTAACACTAACATTACCATGCGTTCATGTGAGCACTAACCCTACCCCTAACACTAACATTACCGTGCGTTCATGTGAGCACTAACCCTACCCCTAACACTAACATTACCGTGCGTTCATGCGAGCACTAACCCTACCCCTAACACTAACATTACCGTGCGTTCATGTGAGCACTAACCCTACCCCTAACACTAACATTACCGTGCGTTCATGTGAGCACTAACCCTACCCCTAACACTAACATTACTGTGCGTTCATGTGAGCGCTAACCCTACCCCTAACACTAACATTACTGTGCGTTCATGTGAGCACTAACCCTACCCCTAACACTAACATTATCGTGCGTTCATGTGAGCACTAACCCTACCCCTAACACTAACATTACCGTGCGTTCATGTGAGCACTAACCCTACCCCTAACACTAACATTACTGTGCGTTCATGTGAGCACTAACCCTACCCCTAACACTACCCCTACCGCATTTTCCCGTGAGTGCTACCCTAACAACACGAGGAGTTTTTGTGGTTGTGCTGTGGTTGTGCCATGTTATGATGCAGTGTTGTGCTGTGTTGCGCTGTACCGTTGTTGTTTTGCGCTGTGGTTGTGTTGCGCTGTGGTTGTGTTGCGCTGTGCTGTGTTGTGCTGTACCGTTGCTGTGTTGTGCTGTGCTGTGTTGCGCTGCGGTTGTGTTGCTCCTTGCTGATGGGGCGCACGTCCCTGCGTGACGCCTGCAGGAGGACATCCATGTCTGGCAGCTGGAAATCCAACACGGGCTCCGCCATGGTCCAGCAGATCGCGATGACGGACAGGTGTGATGCAGAGACACACGGAGACACGCACAGGGACGCACGGACACAAAGACAAAGAGGGACACGCAAAGCGACACACACAGCGACACACACAGAGATATACACACAGCGACACACAGAGATATATACACAGCGACACACAGCGGCATACACACATCGACACACAGAGATATACACACAGCGACACACACCGCGACACACACAGCGACACACAGAGATATACACACATCGACACACAGAGATATACACACAGCGACACACACCGCGACACACACATCGACACACAGAGACATACACACATCGACACACAGAGATATACACACAGCGACACACACCGCGACACACACAGCGACACACAGAGATATACACACAGAGATATACACACAGCGACACACACCGCGACACACACAGCGACACACAGAGATATACACACAGCGACACACACCGCGACACACACAGCGACACACAGAGATATACACACAGAGATATACACACAGCGACACACACCGCGACACACACAGCGACACACAGAGATATACACACATCGACACACAGAGATATACACACAGCGACACACACCGCGACACACACATCGACACACAGAGACATACACACATCGACACACAGAGATATACACACAGCGACACACACCGCGACACACACAGCGACACACAGAGATATACACACAGAGATATACACACAGCGACACACACCGCGACACACACAGCGACACACAGAGATATACACACAGCGACACAGAGATATACACACAGGATTCCCACTCGCAGCCAACATGAGGGAATTATATCCCAAAATTTCATGGGCCCCTCCCCTAGGTCAACTCGGCCTTAAACGAGTACCTGCTGCGGCGTGTACAACACATCATCGTTGGCGGGCATGGCGCTGGCCACGTCATCCCTTCCCCGTGCACCGTGCCCGCCTTCATAGGTGCCGCTCACTTTCAGAGCACTTGCCCCAACAGCCTGCGTGGGCTACACAGGGGACCTTTGTCTGTGTGGTGGCGCAGGTACCGCGTGTGGGTGGACGCGTGCGCCCAGCTGTTTGGCGGGCTGCACGTGTGCGCCGTCAAGGCGGTGCACGCCAAGGACGGCCGCGACTACATCATCGACGTGAGCGCTGCTGCTGCCGCCATCACCACTGTACCATCATCACATCATAGCCTTCACCACACCAACACCATCACCACTATACCACCACCACCACATCATCGCCTTCACCACTACATCACCGACACCACTATACCATCACCACCACCACCACATCATCGCCTTGACCACACCAACACCATCACCACTGTATCATCACCACCACCACCACCACATCGCCTTCACCACACCAACACCATCACCAATATACCATCACTGTCGGTACCAACATCATCGCCATCACCACTACATGGAAAGGACGCTATATAATTCCGAAATAGAATAGAAGCACACCATTGGCTCCACCACCGCCATACCACCGCCATACCACCACTATCACTGCTATCACTACTATGTCACGATATCGTCATTGTCATCACGACTACATCACCACTATATCATCACCATCACCACGACATGACGGCCATCATCACCACTACATCACAATCGGCTCTACGTCAACACTACATCACCGCATCAAAAGCACAACATAACCACCATCATAATCATCACCACCATCACCAGCATCACGACAGTTACCATGAATACCACCATTATCATCATCGTCACAACCACCATTACCATCGATCATAACCACCATTACCATCATCACAACTATACTACCACCACCAGCATCATGCTACTAGGATCACCACTACCCTCATCATCACCATCACCATTCCTTCCCGAGTCCCTCACCCCTCGCTCACTCGACCCCTGACTGCTGGGTCCGTGACCCCTGACCCCGCTGGGCAGGTGATGGACGGCTCGGTGCCGCTGGTCGGGGAGACGCGGGAAGAGGACGAGCGACTCATCGCGCAGCTCGTCACCTCCTCCTGGGAGGCCCTGCTAACCCACCAGCGCGCGCACGCACAGGTGAGGGTGACACCTCCATCGCCACCACCACCATCATCTTATTGTCGTCACCACCTACATCATCATCGCCACCCTCATTATCACCACTTTCCCCACTTTCATCATCATCATCATCATCACCATCATCATCACAATCATCACCACAATCATCATCATCATCACCACAATCATCATCATCATGTCGTGCACCTCTCTTTGGCCTTCGTGCCGCCAACCCCCCCGCGTGGCAGAACAGAAGAGCAGCCGCCCGTGCCCAAAGCCGGACTCCCATCATCATCGCGAGCGCTGCGAGCGCTGCGAGCATTCACCCGCGTCCAATCCCACCGCCCCTCGCACCGCGCTCGTGACTTGGTTCAGAGCGCTCGGGTTGGGGTTGAACGGGCAATGGAGTTGGTCTCCACGAGTCTGGCGACCAGGGCGCAGGGTGGTAGCGCAGTGGCAATGCTCGTGTCGCGGCGAAAAGGGCCTGGATTCAAATCCCAATTCGGGTGCCTTCCTGTGTGGAGTTTGTGTGTTCTGCCCCTGTTCTAGACAGTGTGTGAGTGAGTGAGTTTGTGTGTGAGTGAGTGTGTGAGTGAGTTTGTGAGTGAGTGGAGTTGGTGTGTTCTGCCCCTGTTCTAGAGAGTATGTGAGTGAGTGAGTTTGTGAGTCAGTGGAGTTTGTATGGACTCTCTCTGTCTGCTCTGCGGTTTCCTCCCATAGCAAAATAACATAAAAACATAATGTCATTGATATTGGCCAAACATCCCAATTTAGCAGCACCCTCCAGAAAACAAGTCTTCAGACTCAGAGTGCCTTTCCTGGGTAATTAATTATTACACTTATTATAATTATTATCCTAACGATGAGTCATGTGACACGGCTGATCCCGTTCCAGGGCAGCACCACAGACGGCCCGGACAACCCCAAGCCTCCGGCCCAGGGCTGCCTGCAGTACATCCTGGACTGTAACGGTGAGAGCCTTGCAGCCGCCCTACTGCTCGGGACCTATCCTCGCTTCTCCTCCCTGCCCTGCCCCTGCCCTGCCCTGCCCCTGCCCTGCCCCTGCCCTGCCCCTGCCCTGCCCTTCTGACGAGGTGCCCCGCCCCCCTTGTGCCCTCAGGATCACAGGGCACGACTGAGACTGACAAGGCCGGGCAGCAGCAGCAGCAGCAGCGAGTACAGGCAGCCCAGCCACAACCCTCGGGCCAGACGCCACCAAAACCACAGCCACAGCCTGTTCTGCCACAACAGAAGCAACAGTATCAGGTGGGTCAGCCACAACCCAAGCCACAACAACAACCGGGGCAGCCACAACCCAAGCCACAACAACAGCCGGGGCAGCCACAACCGAAGCCACAGCCTGGGCAGCCACAACCTAAACAACAACAGCTTGGGCAACCGCAACTCAAGCCACAACAACAGCCAGGCCAGCCACAACAGAAACCACAAACACAACTGGGGCAGCCACAACAACAACCTGGGCAACCACAACTCAAACTACAACAACCTGGGCAGCCACAACCGAAAGCACAACCGCAACCTGTCCAGCCACAACCAAAGCCACAGTCATCACCCCCTGCACAACCACAGCCACAGGCACAAGCTCCACCGCAGCAACAACCTGGGCCGCCACAACCGAAACCACAACCCGCTCAGGCACAGCCTAAACTACAGCCCGTGGGTCACTCTGCACAGCCGCTAGCCAGGTGAGGCTGTGTGTGGTGTGGCACTCTGTGTGTGTGTGTGTTGCCGTTGTAGTGTTGTGTTATGTGTTCACACACCTGTCAACCCATTACCAGTGCCCTACCTTATTACAGACCAATTCAGACCTTATTGGTCACCCCGTGCCCTTATAAATCTCAACGCTCATCCTACAAAGTCCCATCACAAGGGAGAAACACAAAAAAATAGACACAAACATTGTTGCTCGTATTGAAGCGGCTGTACGTCGTATGGACCTGAACTCAATTTCCCTGTACAATAATAAACCGTGTGGGTTGACAGGTTTGCGTTCATCAGGTTTGCGTAGAGTGTTCGTGAACAGCACTTGCCCTAACAGTCTGTTGAGGCTATTATGGGGGATCTTTGTCTTTGCTATTGAGCAATATCTCAACCAGTTCTCGGTATCCCCTGGGTCAGTGACTCGGCTTTACACATGAGCATGGGGTCCAAGTACAAAGAATGCTCGTAAAATGCAGCAGGCTGCGTTTGTACCGGGCTCCCTAAATGCCACCGCGTGAAACATGATTTTTATCTGTAGGATCGTAAATCTAGGGGCGGGGCGGCGGGGATTACAAAATCACTGCCACTGTTCTAGCCAATGAGCTGCTGGGAAGATGACCCCCAAGCAGACATGGCCGCCGTAACATCACCCACGCGGCCGTGGGAATCCACTCGGCGCTGTCCAGGGGGACCGTGTCGAGTTTCACGCGGAGTGACGATCCGCGAGTGTCCACGTGTTTGGCCTATACGGCTACAGCGCCATCCACTTTTAGCGCTCGTCAACCGAGGCTCCGACCTCGGTGTACGAGCGCTACAATAGCTCCCTGCGTCTGCCTGCGACAACGCTCGTTAACGATGGCCCAATGTCACAACTTTACTTATGATCCAACCGAGTTTAATTGGTAAATATTGCTTGATTGCTGAATAGTTTGTCTGTTGTTACTCAGTGGCTAATATTAGTTTCACTCTTCATTTTCCTATTTAAAAACTCGGTCATCAGAAAACTATGCAGTCCCCAACTTTTATTCTTTGCGCTGTCTCTCTCCTGGCCTCTATTCACGTGCCGTGAAGAAGGGCCATTGCCCGAAACGTCACTTGTCATATTAACATTTGTATATATCAAGGTCGCACCATAAGCGCACAGTGCAGTTGACGAACATATCGAGTTTTGTTGTTTTATTGTGAAGTTGTTTAGTGTGAAGTCGCAATGCCCCGAGGAGAAATCTGCGTGAATCGGATTCGTCTTGACCGTCTCGGTGAGGACGTCATGACACGTGGTCTAGGTGATGACGTCACGACACGTGGTCGAGGTGGTGACGTCATGACACGTGGTCTAGGTGGTGACGTCTCGACACGTGGTCTAGGTGGTGACGTCATGACACGCGCAACATCGCGAGGCACCGGGCGACGTCGCGTCGGAACGTCGCCGGTCGGAGGGCAACGCGCGCTGGGGAAAGCGTCGTGGAGAATCTGTGCGTACGCCCGATTCTCTTCTTCCTCGCAGACCGGTGGTCGTACAGCAGCAGAGGCCGCAAGACGGGGCCCGCCCCGAGCCCCCCCAGGCCCGGGCCCCGGGACAGGCGGCCCAGAAGTGGAAGGCGGTGGGGGGCGCGGGAGCCGCGGGGGGGCCGCCCGCGACGGCGGCGGCGTCCTCCGGTGGGGGCCGGGCCCCCCATCCTAGGACCCAGGGGGAGGGGTCGAGCCCCCCGCCCCAAGCCGCGCAATCGAGCGGCGCTCCCCCGCCATCCGGGGCGGCACAGGCCCCCCACGGGCCGCAGGGCGAAGGGGGGCCGGCGGCTCGACGGGCGGCCGGCGGAGGGCAACGCCAGACGGCGCCGCCGCAGCCGACGGGGGGGACGCCGCAGCAGCGGCAGCAGCAGCAGCAGGCGCAAGCCACCGGGTCCACCTCCGGTGAGGAGGCGAGCGACCCCAACGTGAGCCAGCGCTTCGTGGGCGATGGCGCTCCATCCGAGAAGCAGATGGCGCTGCACCAACAGCCGCCGCAGCCGCAGCAACAGCAGCAGCAGCAACAGCAACAGCAGCAGCAGCAGCAACAGCAGCAGCAGCAGCAACAGCAACAGCAGCAGCAGCCATATCAGAAGCAGCAGCAGCAGGTGGTAGGGTTGGCTGGAGGGCAGCAGGGCAGCCGTACAGCACCAGCCGTGGGTCAGAGGTCACGCACGCAGTCCCACTCGGAGCAGGCAGGGTCACCCGTTCCGCAGTGGAGTGGGGTGAGACAAGGGTCGGCGCCCAGGCCAGTGCCGGGGTCGGCACCCGAATCAGCGCCGGGATCGGCGCCGGGATCGGCGCCGGGATCGGCGCCGGGGTCAGGCCCGGGGTCGCCCCAGCACCAGAGGTCGGCGGCTGGACCCGGCTCGCCACAGCAGGGGAAAGCTCGCAGCCGGTCAGTGCAGGGTGCGGCGCAGGCGGACGTGGCCGCGCCGGCACCACCATCGCCACAGAAGCAGCGAGTGGAGAGCACGGGCTCGGACAGACGCGGCGATCTCATCAGGGCACCCTCCCCACAGCAGCAGCAGCCACCGGTCCCACAAGCAAAACTACAGCAGCAGCAGCAGCAGCCTCAGGCACAGGCACAGGGGCGGCCGACCTGGGTGTCACAGGAATCGGGGAGCCGCGGCGGTGTGATTGGGGAGCAGCGCGCAGTCGCCCCGTCGGACTACCAGCCGCAGCAGCCGCAGCAGCAGCCGCAGCAGCAGCCGCAGCAGCCGCAACAGCCACAGCAGCAGCAGCAGCACGGCCAGCCATCACTCTACCAACATGACAGTCAGCAGCCGTTTAACGAGCTGGACATTCACCATCATCATCAGCAGCAGCCACAGCAGCAGCAGCCATCTGTGAGCGAGCATCAGGCCACCCAGAGCCAGAGCCGGTCCAAGGGCCCGTCCCCCCAGGCGTCCCCGCCACCCCACCAGCCACGGGAGAGGCCCCAGCCCGGAGTGCTCGCCCAGCGGAGGTGGCCCCCCGAGCAGGCGCCAGGCATGGGGCCTGTCCTGCAGCAGCAGCCGCAGCAGCAGCAGCCGCAGCAGCAGCAGCAGCCGCAGCAACAGCAGCAGCAGCAGCCGCAGCCATCGGGGCCCGTGGCGAGCCAGAGAGGCCCCACCGCTGAGCCCCTGCCGAGCCCCCAGGCCCGGCGGCACGGTCCCTCCGTGCAGCCGTCTCCTCCCCCACAGCAGAGGGCCCCCGGGGAGCGGTCCCGCGGACCCCCTCCACCGCTCCAGCCCAAGCCGGCCGAGCTGGCCGCGAGGCCCGACCGGGGCCCGCCCGCTGCGGGAACGCCGGAGAGGATCCCGCCCAGAGGCCCGCCGGGCCAGCCCCGCCCCGCGGACGGCGGCGGGGAGGCCCAGGGTAGGCCGCGTCTGCCTCCGAAGCCCAGCGAGCTGGCCGCTCAGCCACCGTCGCCTCGGCCGCAGCAGAAGGCCGGCGGCTACGCAGTGCCGCAGCAGCAGCAGCAGCAGCAGCAGCAGCAGCAGGGGTCTCCACAGCTGCAGCAGAGGCCGGTGTCGACCCAACAGCCGCAAGGACCCTCCTCCTCCCCAGTGCCCGCACAGCGGCCACGCAACCCGTCGGTGTCTCCCGACCACCAGAGGGGCCCCGCTGGGAGAGCCCCGGCTGCGGCACAGAGGGCCGCTTCCGTGGCCCAGGCGCCCGCACCGTCGGCACCCACGCAGCAGCAGCCGCAGCAGCAGCAGCAACAGCAGCTGCAGCAGCCGCAGCCGCAGCAGCAGCAGCAGCAACAGCAGCCGCAGCAGCCGCAGCAGCCGCAGCAGCCGCAGCAGCCGCAGCAGCAGCCGCAAGAATCGGCGCCCCAACCGCTCGGGTGAGTGGGCAGTGGGGTTGGCGCAGGTGAGATGTTGCTGCTGTTGTAACTGTGCTCGTGTGTTTGTGCATGCATGCGTATGAATGTGTGGATGTATGCGTGCTTGTGTATCTCTACATGCGGGTGTATATACACGTGTGCACATGTGTGTGCGCAGGGAGCGGTAGTGTAGCGGTTAGCATACCACGCTTCTAATCCAGCGACCTGAGTTCGATTCCCGCTCCCATAACAGCGACGCATATTTGAACTGGTCCTGGGCCTTCCCTGGGTGTGGTGGGTAAACATCAGCACTGGGGAGATAAACGCGGTTGGGCGTGGTGCTGGCCACCTACCGCCTCGCGTGCCGTGCCGGCCTTCGTAGGTGCTCGCTTACGGCACTTGCTCCGATAGTCCGTTAAAGACTACACGGGGGATCTTTGTCTTTGTGTGTGCAGCTCATCTGGCGACCCCCAGCCGGGCCAGGAGCAGACCGAGAACTGGCCTCCCATTCGCAACATCCGCAAGTCCTTCGCTTCCTTCTTCCTCGACTGAAGCATGCGACCGCACGACACGGCCACACTACCGCACGCACGCACCGCACGCACCGACACAGCCACGCACGCCGCGCCACACGTGTCTAAACCCCCATTGCACCGGCCCCACCCAGGTTCCGTCTCACCACCTCGGTCACCCTGCCTCATATCCACGACCTGATCTCAGCACCCGGCACACACGTCCAGTATACATTTCACTTTGGCTGTGGCTACTTGGTCACGTGCTAACTATTCCAGTCTACCAACGACCCATAACATATTTCTGCACACCAGTACACCGCATCCAGTACACCGCATCCAGTACACCTATCGCTATGGCTGTGGCTACTACTAGTCACGTGCTACCTACTCCAGTCTACCGGTAACCCAGAAAATATTTAGTTTGAGATGCATTCCTGCTCACCTCCCTCCACGACGACCCAAGCCACCTCCCTCTCAAGGGAGAATGTTGGTGGCGTTGTCTTGCGCGTGGGAGGGAGGTGTGGACCGGTGGTGGTCACTTGAAGGGATCTCAGAGATAACTCTGTGATATCTGCTTCCGGGGGCCCGTCGTCCAAGACGAAGGCTTGTTGCCGCTCTGCGAGAGAGTCCCGAACGGATTCGTCATTTCCAGGATTTCTGACCGCGAGCATTTGCAGCGAGCAATGACGAGCACAAGCACCCCGGGCGCGCGTCGCCGCCGACCGGCGACCGCGACCTCCCGTGACCCCACGGATCACCCGGCCGTGACCCTACGGGTCACCCGGCCGTGACCCCACGGGACACCCGGCCGTGACCCCACGGGTCACCCGGCCGTGACCCCACGGGTCACCCGGCCGTGATCCCACGGGTCACCCGGCCGTGACCCCACGGGACACGTGGCCGTGGCCACGAGTGAGCGCCCGCCCGTTTGCGCCCGTGGGGCTGGGCGGGCGACCCACGCTTATCTGTTCTTTAGCCGTGCCGTGATCCCGTCAAGTGCCGTGACCCCGTGTCGCCGTTACTCCTGCGCCGTGGGCGCGCACGCGCCTGTACGTGTGTAGATGTGTGTGTACGTGTGTAGGTGTGTAGGTGTGTGTGTACGTGTGCATGCGTGTTCTCCCGTGTGGGCAGTGCTGCAGGTTGGGGCGACGTCGTGGTCCAATTTGAAAACATATAAAATGGCTGCCACAACAATGGGGTGCTTCTGCTGCCGCGGTGTGGGGCGGACAACACACCAGACCTGCAATCCAGAGGTCACCGGTTCAGCTTGATTTGACCTCCCGGTGCGGCGGTTGAAGCAACGGAGCAAGTTTCTTAATTCCGCTCGCCTCTGTTCATGCATGCGCATCCATGGCAGCACCACAGTCGCCTTGCACCACGGCGCGGGTGAAAGTGTCCTTCCCGAGTATGTCCAACGCCCTGCGGTAGTTTGAGCACTTTTCCCTTGTCACGAGGTGGGGCGGGTTTGGTGGCGGTGGCAGCACACCCACGATGAACATCGATGGTGAAAGCCGGAGGGAAAGTGCTCAACCCCCCCTTCCCACCCCTAATGTCACTTGAAGAGATCTTGGAAGTAGCTCTGTCGTGTCCGCTTCTGCGGTACCGTGATACACCGAGGGCCGCGCTGTTTTGCGAAAGATCGGAACGGATTCTTCATCTCGTGACGACACAACGCCGGTAGCAGTGATCGGGATCACATTTGGGGGGGGGGGGGAATGCAAATGTGGAGGGACATCTGTGGAAAAAGTGCCGCTTAGCTCATCGGATTCCTCCAGGATAAAGATCGCGACTCTGAATGGTGTAGGCGCCGCTATGCTCCAGGGAAAATCCGCTCGATGACGCCTCCAATCGTTGCCCACGTCTCAGAGTTTGTGGGCAGAGCCCGGCCTCGTGCCGCCGTCACGCGCAGCTCGTCCGCCGCCTGAGACGACGCCGGCCCGAGCCAGTGCAGCGCTGCCCCGCGTGTCGCGTGTCTGGACTGGCGTGTGGCGGCTCCCCCTTTGGGTTCCCCAGCGTCGGCCGGGCGGCCGAGCACAGGTGCTTGGCCAGGTGAGGTCGACTGAGTCGTGGGCCACGTGTTCACTGGCGGGCTGCAGGCTCCGTGGTGGTGGAGTTGGGGGCGTCATGTCAAGCTGATGGGATACGTGGTTGAGCTCGGGGACCGCGTGCAGCTGGGAGAGGGTTTCATGGTTGAGTTGGGAGTTCCTTTAGTGGAGCTCGCGATCCATGGGGGACTTAAATATTACGGGGGGGGTGAGTGGTGGACTTAGGGGGTGAGTGGTGGACTTAGGGGTGAGTGGTGGAGTTAGGGGTGAGTGGTGGAGTTAGGGGTGAGTGGTGGAGTTAGGGGTTAGTGGTGGAATTAGGGGTGAGTGGTGTCAAGGGGGTGAGAGGGTGCATGGTGGTGTCAAGGGGGTGGGGGGGTATGGTGGTGTTCAGGGGGTGGGGGGTGGGTACGTGTTGGTGGTGGTGATGTCAGTGTCCGGAGATTCGAGTCCGCGAACGTTGGGACCGCAGAAGGAATGGAACCTCCTCCTCCGCACTGGCGCGTTGCCTGCGTGTCGATCACCCCGGCGAGTGCGCATGCGTCAACGTATTGGCTTCTTGTTATTGCCGTGTGCGTAAGTTTCCTCGTGCCTGTGAATGTAATTAATCGGCGTGAGTGTAACTTATTGATCACTGTGAGTGTAACTTATTGATTGGTGTGAGCGTAAACGTATCGATGATCAGCGCGCGATCACTGTTATCGACGATGGTGGTGGGCACGAGTCCACGTGTTTTCGATGGATGCGTCTCGGTGTGTTGGTGGATAATGCGGCGGCTCGCGCGCTGCGCTACGGACCTGGCGACCCGAGTTCAATTCCCACGAACAACCACCAGTGACGATTGTCTGAACCGGTCCCTAGGACCTCCCCAAGGTCGACTCAGCCTCGGATGAGTGCATCGTGCGATGTGTAAAAACATCGGCACTGGGAAGACAAAGGCGGTCTGGCATGGGGTTGGCTACCCACTTCCTCGTGTGCCGTGCCGGCCTTCATAGGTGCTCGCTAACAGCACTTGCCCCTACAGTCTGTGAAGGCTACACGGGGGATCTTTATCACGCGTCACTCCGAGCCTGTTGCCGTGTGTGGGTTGACCTGGCGCCTCTGTCCTTTATTGAGTTGTCATTGACTGAGGAACGCCGGCTCCGTTTCGACTCCAGGATCCTGGGCCTCTTCATTTGGCACTTGAGTGGATGATGGTGATGATGATGCTGTGGCCTGGGTTATGATGATGATGATTCACCAGTTGTTATGGTAATGATGGCGAAGTTGGTGATACGAGCCGCGTTGTGATGGCCCTGATGATGGGGCTGGGGCTTATAACGGTATTGACGGGGCCCTGCTTGTGATGGTAATGAATGAGGGTCACGTTGAGATGTGACTGGAGGGATTCAGGTTCCGGTGGTGTTGATGGCTTTGGCCATGGTGATCAGGCTGCATTGTGACGATGGTGATGGCGCTTGTGATGTTTATGAAGATGGGACCCGGGTCAATCTTGGTGCCCGGGTGTTGATGGTGGTGATGGGACATGGATTACGGTATTGATGATGATAGTGGTTTATAGACATCATACGGCCCATGTAATGATGATGATGGATAATTTGAGTTGACGATAGTTCAGTTGTGATTGTGATGATGGAAACCGGGTTACTATGATAATTGATAGAGATGATGAGACCCCTCTAATGATTCATGATAACGAGCATGGTTCCGTTGTCATGATGATTACATGATTCAGTTGTCGTGATAATGTTGCCTGGATTACGATAATGATGGGACCCGGGTTACCATTATGACTGATATAAGTGATGATGATGGTTCAAATGATGATGGTTCAGTTGTGGTAGTAATGATGATAATGGTTCAGTGGTGGTGATGATGGTGCTGATTACGATGGTTGAGTGGTGGTGGTGATGGTGTTGATTATGATGGTTGAGTGGTGGTGGTGATGGTGTTGATGATAATGATTGTTCACTGGTGGTGGTGATGGTGTTGATTACGATGGTTCACTGGTGGTGGTGATGGTGTTGATTATGATGGTTGAGTGGTGGTGGTGATGGTGTTGATTATGATGGTTGAGTGGTGGTGTTGATGGTGTTGATTATGATGGTTCACTGGTGGTGGTGTTGATGGTGTTGATTATGATGGTTGAGTGGTGGTGTTGATGGTGTTAATTATGATGGTTCACTGGTGGTGGTGATGGTGTTGATTACGATGGTTCACTGGTGGTGGTGATGGTGTTGATTATGATGGTTGAGTGGTGGTGGTGATGGTGTTGATTATGATGGTTGAGTGGTGGTGTTGATGGTGTTGATTATGATGGTTCACTGGTGGTGGTGTTGATGGTGTTGATTATGATGGTTGAGTGGTGGTGTTGATGGTGTTAATTATGATGGTTCACTGGTGGTGGTGATGGTGTTGATTATGATGGTTGAGTGGTGGTGGTGATGGTGTTGATTATGATGGTTGAGTGGTGGTGGTGATGGTGTTGATTATGATGGTTGAGTGGTGGTGGTGATGGTGTTGATTGTGTTGATTATGATGGTTCACTGGTGGTGGTGATGGTGTTGATTATGATGGTTGAGTGGTGGTGGTGATGGTGTTGATTATGATGGTTGAGTGGTGATGGTGATGGTGTTGATTATGATGGTTGAGTGGTGGTGTTGATGGTGTTGATTATGATGGTTCACTGGTGGTGGTGATGGTGTTGATTATGATGGTTGAGTGGTGGTGGTGATGGTGTTGATTATGATGGTTGAGTGGTGGTGTTGATGGTGTTGATTATGATGGTTCACTGGTGGTGGTGATGGTGTTGATTATGATGGTTGAGTGGTGGTGGTGATGGTGTTGATTATGATGGTTCACTGGTGGTGGTGATGGTGTTGATTATGATGGTTGAGTGGTGGTGGTGATGGTGTTGATTACGATGGTTGAGTGGTGGTGGTGATGGTGTTGATTACGATGGTTGAGTGGTGGTGGTGATGGTGTTGATTATGATGGTTGAGTGGTGGTGGTGATGGTATTGATTGTGTTGATTACGATGGTTCACTGGTGGTGGTGATGGTGTTGATTACGATGGTTCACTGGTGGTGGTGATGGTGTTGATTACGATGGTTGAGTGGTGGTGGTGATGGTGTTGATTATGATGGTTGAGTGGTGGTGGTGATGGTGTTGATTATGATGGTTGAGTGGTGGTGATGGTGTTGATTATGATGGTTGAGTGGTGGTGGTGATGGTGTTGATTACGATGGTTCACTGGTGGTGGTGATGGTGTTGATTACGATGGTTGAGTGGTGGTGGTGATGGTGTTGATTATGATGGTTGAGTGGTGGTGGTGATGGTGTTGATTGTGATGGTTCAGTGGTGATGGTGTTGATGATAATGGTTCAGTTGTGGTGGTGATGACGATGTTGAAGCCACGGGCCCTGCTGTCCGAATCGTTGTGCCCGAGTCGATGCCGCCACGTGCTCACACGCGGCTCATTGTGATTGGTGAATGATTATAAGTAGCGCGATTTAGAAGTAGTTCATTAGTCGTTAGCTGTTGGTTAATTGCTCGTTCGCTGTGGGTTAGTCATTACCTGTGCGTGTTGGTTGCTCAGTCGCTGTGGGTCACGTGATTGTTCATTACTGGCGGCTCATTGCACAGTGAATGTGGGTTGGTGATTGCACAGTCGCCGTGTTGGTTCTAGATTAGCTGCGCCTTGTTGTTAACTGCTCATTAGCTATGGGGCAATTGGCCCTGGGTGAATTGCTCATTAGCTGTGGGTTAATTCTTCATTAGCTGCGAGTTCATTGCTCATGATCTATGGGTTGTCAATGGCTCAACAGATCTGGGTTAATTGCTCATTAGCTGTTGAACAATTCCTCATCTGTGGGTTAATTGCTCATTGGCGGTGGGTTGCTGTGATTTGACTGTGAAAAATAAAACTGCGAGAGACACCTGATGACTATTTGTTTGGGAGCAAGAGAGAACCCCACCATCATCACAACCCTCATCATCACAATCACCAACACACCCCCCACCCGGACCACCCCCCCCCAATCACCTGTACCCTTCCCCCCAATCACCTGTACCCCGCCCCCCTATCACCCGTACCCCGCCCCCCAATCACCCGTACCCCGCCCCCCTATCACCCGTACCCCGCCCCCCAATCACCTGTACCCTTCCCCCCAATCACCCGTACCCCGCCCCCCAATCACCTGTACCCTTCCCCCAATCACCCGTACCCCGCCCCCCAATCACCTGTACCCTTCCCCCCAATCACCCGTACCCCGCCCCCCAATCACCCGTACCCCGCCCCCCTGACCACCTGTACCCCTCCCCTAGCCGGTACACCTGAAGGCGGAAGCCCCGTCTCGAGTCAAGGACGACTGGAGCAGCGGCTGCCAGGTGAGTGTGTCAGGTGTGTGTGTGTCAGGTGTGTGTGTGTCAGCTGTGTGTGTCAGCTGTGTGTGTCAGTGTGTGTCAGTGTGTGTGATGGTGTGTGATAATGTGATGGTGTGTGTGTGTGATGTTGTGTGATAATGTGATGGAGTGTGTCATGGTGTGTGTGTGTGATGGTGTGTGATAATGTGATGGTGTGTGATAATGTGATGGTGTGTGATAATGTGTGATAATGTGATGGTGTTGGTGTGTGTGTGATGGTGTGTGATAATGTGATGGTGTGTGTGATGGTGTGTGTGATGGTGTGTGATAATGTGTGATAATGTGATGGTGTTGGTGTGTGTGTGATGGTGTGTGATAATGTGATGGTGTGTGATGGTGTTGGTGTGATGGTGTTGGTTGAGGCAGTCGCCCTCCAGCAACAACGGAGGGCGGATGAGCGACGCTCACAACAACTAGCGGAGCGCCGGGTGGCTAAAGCACAGTAAGTTGGTACAGTAGGGGGCACAGGTGGTGCATCAGCCACTCATCTCGGCCATCTCAGTCGACCCGTGGCACCTGAGTCTGCCCCGTGACCTCCTGCCAGCGGGCGTTCGACACTTCACGTGGCCTCAAGGTGCACATGGCCTGGCACAAGCGTCGTGGTGACGTCACCGCCACTTAGTGGCGAATGGCGGTTGTTGTTGTGTGTTGGTGTGTGATAATTTGATGGTATGTGATGGTGTTGGGGCATCTTCCAGACCGATTCAGCCTCAATAGAGTGCCTGGTGCCTTGCGTAAAAACATCGCCACTGGGGAGACACAGGCGGCCAGGCGTGGTGCAGTCCACCAACCCCCTCGTGTGCCGTGCCGGCCTTCAAAGGTCTTTTTTAAAAGCACTTGCTCCAACAGTCTGTTAAGGCTACACGGGGGATCTTTATCTTTTGTGATGGTGTGATTGTGTGATGGTGTGATGGTGAGATAATGGTGATGGTGTGTGTGATGGTGATGGTGTGATGGTGATGGTGTGTGTGATGGTGTGTGTGATGGTGATGGTGTGATGGTGTGTGTGATGGTGATGGTGTGTGTGATGGTGATGGTGTGATGATGGTGTGATGGTGGTGTGATGGTTTGTGTGATGGTGTGATGGTGTGTGTGATGGTGATGGTGTTGGTGTGATGATGGTGTGATGTGTGATGGTGTGATGGTGTGATGATGGTGTGATGATGATGTCATGATGGTGTGATGTCATGATGGTGTGATGGTGATAGTGTGATGGTGATGGTGTGATGGTGGGGTGATGGGGTGATGGCATGATGGTGATGTGAGTGATGGTGATGGTGTGATGGTGTGATGGTGGTGTGAGTGATGGTGGTGTGAGTGATGGTGGTGTGAGTGATGGTGATGATGTGATGGTGTGATGGTGGTGTGAGTGATGGTGGTGTGAGTGATGGTGTGAGTGATGGTGATGGTGTGATGGTGTGATGGTGGTGTGAGTGATGGTGTGAGTGATGGTGTGAGTGATGGTGTGAGTGATGGTGATGATGTGATGGTGTGATGGTGGTGTGAGTGATGGTGGTGTGAGTGATGGTGTGAGTGATGGTGATGGTGTGATGGTGTGATGGTGGTGTGAGTGATGGTGTGAGTGATGGTGGTGTGAGTGATGGTGGTGTGAGTGATCGTGATGGTGTGATGGACCTGATGACATCGCTCACCATCACTCACCATCACTCACCTTCACTCACCATCACTCACCGTCACTCGCCACCACTCACCATCGCTCACTGTCACTCGCCACCACTCACACATTGGAACAAATACGTACCATTACACACCACCACAAAGACCCCCCGTGTAGCCTTATAACAAACTATTGAGGCAAGTGCTGTTAGCGAGAAGCACCTACGAAGGGCTGGCACGGCATACCGGGGGGGGGGGGGGGGGGCGGGCAGCACCACGCCATTCAAAAACAAGCCACCAATCCCCAATCACAGCCCTGACCCGTGGCCGAGAGCCCGTGATTGCTGACCGAACGTCGTGACTTCTGACCGAGTGGCCGTGTTCGCGTGGTGCGAGCAGAGGCGATGGCGATGCCCGAGGCCCCCGGGGAGAAGCTGCGGTCCCCGGCGAGGGGCTCCCCGGCGAGGGGATCCGCGGGGGGCTCCGCCGTGGCGGCGGCATCGTCGCCATCGTGGCCCCCCGCGGAGGCCGTGGAGTGCCGCGTGTGCGGGGACCGCGCCTCGGGCTTCCACTACGGCCTCCACGCGTGCGAGGGATGCAAGGTACAGAGGGGGCGAGAATCGGCACGTGGCCTGTGAGACGACGGGGGTGGGCACTGATCGCTGCCACTGCTGATGCTGCTGTTACTGCTGCTGCTGCCACTTCTGCTGCTGCTGCTGCCACTGCTGCCACTGCTGCCGCTGCCGCCGCTGCCGCGTGGTGATGGCAGCCGCGTCGTTGGTGCCGTGCCGTTTTCCCGAAGCGTCGCCCTGTTCGCCAGGGCTTCTTCCGCCGCACGCTGCGCCTGGCGCTGGTGTACCCGCGGTGCACGCGCGCCTGCACCGTGCACAAGAACAGCCGCAACAACTGCCAGCACTGCCGCTACCAGAAGTGTCTGCGGCTCGGCATGTCACGCGACGGTGGGTGGCACGCACTCACTCGTGTCTGTGTGTGGTGTGTGTAGTGTGTGTGTGTAGTGTGTGTGTTCGTGTGTGTGTAGTCTGTGTGTAGTGTTTGTTCGTGTGGAGATAACCCTGCTGAGGCTGCGGTGCCTCAAATATTGGAAGAGGTCACCCCCTGTGAGTGGCTGGCTGAGGTGCCATCTGTTGAGGAAGTACTGAAGGCGATCCGGAGTCTGAGACCAGGAAAGGCACCGGGCAGAGATGAACTCCAAAGTGAAATGCCGAGGGAGGGTGGCGTTTGTGCACAGACTGCCCTATATGAACCGCTGGACGGGTTCCGCAGGATTGGAAGGATGCCCTGGTGTTCCCCCTTTTTAAGAAGGGGAACCGCACAGACTGTAACAACTACAGGGGCATCTCACTCCTCAGTGTGCCGGGAAAGGTCCTGGCAAGGATTATTCAACATCGCCTTGCTAGGCACGCTGAGGAGAGGCTTGCGGAGCCCCAATGCGGTTTCAGGAAAGGGCGGTCCTGCAAAGATGCCATATTTTCTGTCCGTCTGCTACAGCAGAGGTGTAGGGAATTTCAACAAGACCTACATCTCTGCTTTATTAACCTGGTCAAGGCCTATATGATACCATCAGTAGGCCTGGGCTCTGGGATGTTCTTCGTGCTTTCTGCTCACGATCATTAAGGACCTTCATGATGGTGAGCGGGCCCAGGTTAAACTACGTGGCCGGGAGTCAGAGCCTTTCCCTGTACACCTTGGGGTGCGACAGGGATGTCCTCTGGCTCCCACATTATTTAACATCTATTTTGACCACTAGTTCGTGAAGCCTTCAATAGCTGTACCGGGGGAATTTCCATTTGGTACAGATATAATGGGAGGCTGATCGATGCCCGGGTGCATCAAGGGATGGCTCCCTATTGGTCAACCACGTTATGTATGCCGATGATTTGGTAATAGCTGCTCATTCAGAGGAGGAGTTGGAAACGCTGCTGTTGAGACTGGAGCGTGCCACTAAGAGGTGGGGCCTTACCATCAGCCCCACCAAAACTAAGCACCTGCCTGGGTATTTTGTACCATCGGACACTCCACCCCCACAACTCCCAATCAATGATGGGACAGTAGTGGAGAGAGTGGAGAGTTTCCCATACCTTGGAAGTGTGCTTATGACCGGCTCTAGTTTAACAGCAGAGGTATCGCTCCGAATCAGTCGAGCGGCAATATCTTTTCATCGGTTGCGTAACGCTGTGTGGAAGCTACCTGGTCTGTCGCTCCATACGAAGCTTCAGGTCTTCTCGGCCACAGTCATTCCCTCCCTTCTCTATGCTTGTGAAACGTGGACCCCCCTAATGGAGCATCTTCGCCGGTTAGAAACATTTAGGCTGCCTGCCTACGATCCATCCTGGGTTTAACCAGGCTGGATTGTGTGTTATGAACTCGCCGACCCGAGTTCGATTCCCCACTCACGGCCAACACCTGTGACTGTTATTTGAATCGGTCTCGGACCTCCCCTAGGTCGACTCGGACTCAACTAAGAACCTGGTGTTCGGTGTGTAAACATCGCCAATGGGGAGACAAAGGCGGCCGGGCGTGGTGCTGGCCACCCACCTCCTCGTGTGCCACGTCGGCCTTTATAGGTGCTCGCTAACAGCACTTGGTCGCGAAAGCCTACGTGTTAAACTGAGTCTGTTAAAGTGTGCACGTGACCGCGTGCCCACAGGGCCGCGTTGCGTCCGCGTGTGTACGTGTGCCACTGCGAGTTCCGGATTATCCGGACCGTGAGGAATGTCGCCGCTGCCCGCACGTGGCGGCTGACATTAGAACCCCCCCCTCGCAAGTTCCACCCTGTGGCGAGCGTAGACACGCGGTTCGGTTCAGCTGGGCCGCCCTGGTTATTACTGCTGGGGTATCAACCGGTAAATACCGTGACGCGCAATCCACCTTGCTCGCAGTGGACGTCAAAGCTCCCCGTGACGCTCTCTGAAGCGAGTAGTGAGCCCGGCTGCATCGGTGAGCACCGGATTTGGCAGAATCACTCGATTGAGGTTCCACACACAGCAGCGCACCCCCCTTCCTCACCACGAGAACCAGGACCCTCCTGGAACAGAGTCACGAGACTTGGTGAGACTTTCCTGCGTAAACAGGCGTGATGTATTAACAGTAATAACATGACGGGGTGGCGCCGCTGTCGGGCGGTGCGGTGGAGTGGCCGTGGTTGGTGATGCCCGGGGCTAACGCCGTGCGCCCCCACAGCGATTCGGTTTGGCCGCATGCCGCCCAGCGAGCGAGACCGCATCCTGGCCGAGACGGCGCCGGAGGCGAGCGGCGGCGCTAGCGGCGGCGCTGGCGGCTCCGGCGACGGCAGCGGCGTCGAGAGCGGCGGCGAGCAGAGCTCCCCGTCGCCGGCCGAGGACGGGGAGGAGGCACTGGCGGCGCTGGCGGCCCACGTGCAGGCCGCCTACCGCCGCACGTTCCCGCTCACCAAGGCCAAGGTGGAGGACATCCTCCGGGACCTGGAGTCGGTGAGAGGCGGGGAGACACGGAGAGACGCGGGGAGACGCGGGGAGAGACACGGGGAGACACGGGGAGACACGGGGAGAGACACGGGGAGAGACACGGGGAGAGACACGGGGAGACGCGGGGAGAGGCATGGTGGCGGGCGCCGTGCTTGGCGCGCCATGAGGGGCGTTTGCCCAGCCACGCGCGCGGTCGCTCGTTCGTCGATGGGAGTTGGCTGCACGTCCCAGCATATAGGACTGCAGAGCTTGGGAAATTTGGTCGGTCGATTGCGGACAGCCGTCGCGCGCGTGCCGGGGGGGGGGGGGGGCGAGGGAGGGCTGACGCGGAGTCGACCCCCGCCCGGGATGCGAACTCTGCAGCGTTGCGAGCCGCTCGCTTGAGCGCCTGCTCCCCGAGTCGGTGTCTTGCTTCTGTCGTCGTGGCCTCGTGCAGCGATTCGTGGCCAGTGCCGTCGCCCCCCACTTGGAGTGCCGGCGAGGTGATGTTGCAGGTGCGCTGCTGCTGCTGCCGCTGTGGTATTTGTCGCAATTGTCGGGAAGGAAGAAACCTCGCAACTCCCTCGCACGCTCAGTTGGGCACAGCGAGAAACTCGCGCCGCGTGACAACTTCTTGTCACGGAATGGGGCAGCGCCACTTCACTTCTTTGTTCTCGATAAGATCAGTCGAGTTCTCTCGCAGCTACTGCGCATTACCACAACACCCAGCCACCCAGCCACCCCCCACCCTCCCCACCCAAACCCAGCCAGCCCCCCCACCCAAATCCAGCCCCCCACCCAGACCCAGCCCCCCACCCAGACCCAGCCCCCTCCACCCAGACCCAGCCCCCTCCACCCAGACCCAGCCCCCCACCCAGACCCAGCTCCCTCCACCCAGACCCAGCCCTCCACCCAGACCCAGCCCCACCCCCCCCACCCAGACCCAGCCCCCCACCCAGACCCAGCCCCACCCCCCCCCACCCAGACCCAGCCCCCCCACCCACCCAGACCCAGCCCCCTCCACCCAGACCCAGCCCCCCACCCAAACCCAGCCCCCCACCCATCCCCACCCCCCCCACCCAGACCCCCACCCAGCCCCCCCCACCCAGACCCAGCCCCCCCACCCACCCAGACCCAGCCACCCCCACCCAGACCCAGCCACCCCCCCCCACCCAGACCCAGCCCCCCCCCAGACCCACCCTCCCCCCCCAGACCCAGCAATGTCAGCTGGGTTTGCAGTTCAGGACAGGGCCGGCAGGACCCGTTCTGCGTGGTCGTGGCTCGGCACGCTCACAATGTGGTCCAACAGGAGCAGGGGGAGTGGTGTGTGTAGTGTGTGTGTAGTGTCTGTGTGTGTGTGTGGTGTGTCGTGTCATTGTGTGTGTGGTGTCTGTGTGTGTACTGTCTGTGTGTGTGTGTGTAGTGTGGTGGTGTCTGTGTGGTGTCTGTGTGGTGTCTGTGTGGTGTGTCTGTGTGTGGGTGTGTGTAGTGTGGTGTATCGGTGTGTGTGGTGTGTGGTGTGTGGTGTGGTGTGTGTGGTGTGTGTGGTGTGTCTGTGTGTGTGTGGTGTGTCTGTGTGTGTGTGGTGTGTGTGATGTGTGTGGTGTGCGTGTGTGGTGTGTGTGGTGTGTGTGGTGTGTGTGATGTGTGTGGTGTGCGTGTGTGTGTGGTGTGTGTGTGGTGTGTGTGTGGTGTGTGTGGTGTGTGTGGTGTGCACAAGCGTAGTGGTTCAGTTTTTTTTCATTTATGAGGTGTAGCCCTGTGAGCCATGAGTCTCTTGACTCGGGTTCAACCACAACAAACAAAACATGAACAAGGAACATCTTAAAGTGACGACGCGCGACAGAAAAATCCAGGAAAAAACCGCTAAATCTTCCAGAAAAAAGCACCGTATTTCAACGATGTGTGCAAAAATCCCAGTGGGAAGCAAGTCTAACAATAACACCCATAAGACAATTTAGATAAAGTTATCAGGCTAACTCCGTACTTTAACAAACATGGCTTAACCATCCGTTAATTGGAATTCGATACAATATCTGGAAAGTCACCGAGAAATGTATATTTTGCCAGTCGGGCGCTGCGCCTGCCGCTCACTGTCGCTGTGGACGGCGCTGGTGGCGCGTGCGAACCAGGTGCTCATCGTTCGGGACATGCGCTCCCTCGAGGAGTTCGGCAGAAGCATCGGGCTGACTCAGCTGGTGGCGCCGAGCGAGCGCGACCCCTCCATGGAGGCGATGCTCCGGGAACAGCTGCAGGCGGCGCCCGGACAGGAGCCGGGCGCGGCGGCGGCGGTGGCGGTGCCAGGCGCGGTGCAGCTGGTCCACTTCTTCAACCGGTTCCAGTACCGCATTGCCGACGTGGTGCGCCAGGTCACCGAGTTCGCCAAAGCCATCCCGGGGTTCGGCGCCATCGACATCAACGACCAGGTGAGGGACGGGGGTGGGGGGCAGTGCCCGATTCAGCGAGTGCGGGGCCTGTCGCATAACAGGGGCCCTAAATAAATAAAAAACACTTAAATATTAAAACACGTACTTTTTAACTTGCATAGTTAAGTAATTGTATTTATTCCTTCGCTATACAGCAAGATAATACGACAAATCGATAACCTTAAACATCCAGTCGTTCATAAAAGTTGAAGGCAGTATAGTACTATGAGAATCGAACAAGTGCAGAATCACTGAACGGCCTGGCCGCCTTTGGGGCCGTCCATAAATGACGTCACGCACCTAGGGTGGGGGGGGTCAGACATTTGTGACAATGTGTGACGAGGGGGGGGGGGGTTGAGAAATGTGACATCACATCAAAATGCGCAACTTTAAATAAATATGGACAACACGTTCTACTTAATTAAATTGACTTTCTAATAAATGTTTCCTCCTACAACATCAGTGCAGCGCCACATTAAATACGCACTACAATAACAATCGTTTAAAGCGATTTGAACCATGTTTTATTTTGGGGGGGGGGGGGGGGCAGAGCTTTGTGACGTCACATTTGAGAAGGGGTCTGACTTTTTGTGACGCTGTGTGACGATGGGGGGGGGGCTCAAAAATCGTCCAAAGTCGCGTGACATCATTTATGGACGGCCCCTTTGTTTCCCGAGTGACGATGTTTACACATCGCACCAGGTACTCATTTGAGGCTGAGTCGACCTAGGAGAGGCCCAGGACCTGTTCAGATAACCGTCACTGGTGATGTTGGCCATGAAGCGGGAATCGAACTCGGGTCGCCAGGTTCGTAGCGCAGCTTAGCGCTAACCACTATACCCACCGCTCCCCTGTACACACGGACACTCTCTCACCTACACGCAGCCGTACGACACGCTCCGAATCTACCCCCTTGCCCGTGGGGGGTGCCGTGGGTACAAAGTTGCGTGCAATGCCACACCCGGACACGACGCACCGTGCCAGGCTAGGTGCCCTTTGAGACCACGTGAAGAGTCAAGTCAGCTCGGTGGCAGTTGCCATGGCGTCTTGGCCGTCTTGTTGACCAGTGTGGTTCCCGGTTGGTTGTGCCTTTTGTGGTGGTTGTTGTAATTGGTTGTTTACCCTTTCATCTGGCAACAAAACTGACACCTCTTTTACAAGGAGTCATGTTTGCATAGACCACAATACTTGCGGTCAGAATGCAAACAAAAAACACAACTCTGATAATGTATGCAATTTTGTTGCCAGGTAAAAGGGTAAAAAAACTATTATCATATTTTGCTTCTGGCAAAGGAGGTTCCAATGGTGTAAATGCTTCACCCCGAGCTCTCATACTCTGATGATGCATTGTCTTTGAGTTGTGCACCTTTTGGTGTCATCTGGTCCAACACTATGAGAGACTAGGCTCTAAGGAAAGCTGTCTCGAGTGTGGACCAATCAATTTCAAGGACAGTGCATACATTATCAGAGTTGTGTTTTTTGTTTGCATTCTGACCGCAGGTATTGTGGTCAATGCAAACATGACTCCTTGTAAAAAAGGTGTCAAATTTGTTGCCAAATAAAAGGGTAAAAAACCAATTATCACATTTTGCTACTGGCAAAGGAGGTTCCAATGGAGTGGTTGCTGTAGTTCGGTGGTCGTCGTCGTCGCCGCAGGTGACGCTGCTCAAGTACAGCGTGTACGAGGCCATGTTCACCATGATGGCGGGACACGTGCGCGAGGACGGCATGCTGCTGGCGGGCTGCGGCGTCTACATCTCGCGACCCTTCTACGACGCCATGCGCAGCAGCTTCCACAGCAGCGACTCCAAGTTCGAGTTCTCGCAGCGCTTCAACGCGCTGGGCCTGCTGGACGACGACATCGCCGTCTTCCTCGCCGCCATCATCCTCTGCGACGGTGGGCGCCGCGACACCTCTTCCCGTGGAGCGGGGGCCAGTAACGGTGGAGGTTGTTTTAACTGGTCCTAGTCCCTCCCCTAGGTCAACTCGGCCTTGACCAAGTACCTGGTAGGGTGTGTAAAAACATCAGCACTGGGGAGACAAAGGCGGCCGGGCGTTGTGCTGGCCACCCACCCCCTCGTGTGCCGTGCCGGCCTTCATAGGTGCTACTCGATAATGGCACTTGCCCAGTCTGTGAAGGCTATACGGGGGGGGGGTCATCTTTGTCTGTGGCGCCGTGTGCCAATGTGTCAGTCATATGTGTCAGTGTCACTGTGTGTCTGTGTGTCACTGTGTTTTGTGTGGCTGTGTGAATGCGTCACTGTGTGAATGCGTCACTGTGTCTGTGTCACTGTGTCTGTGTGAATACGTCACTGTGTGTCACTGTGAATGTGTCACTGTATGTGTGAATGCGTCACTGTGAATGTGTCACTGTCTGTGTGAATGCGTCACTGTGAATGTCACTGTCTGTGTGAATGCGTCACTGTATGTGTGAATGCGTCACTGTGAATGTGTCACTGTGTGCAGACCGTCCGGGCCTGGTGAATGTGGCGGCCGTGGAGCGTCTCCAGATGCGCATGCTGCAGGCGCTGGCGCTGCAGTTGCGCCGAGCACACCCGCACTGCCCCTTCCTCTTCCCCAAGCTGCTGCAGAAGCTGGCCGACTTGCGCGAGCTCGTCACGGAGCACGTGGACTTCGTGGAGACCTACCGGCGCACGCAGGCGGGCGCCAAGCTGCACCCGCTGCTGCTGGAGATCCTCACCGACATGTACTGAGATGCTCGCCGATATTCAGACTTGTACCGAGATACTCGCTGATACTCGCTGATACTCACCAACTTGTACCGAGATACTCGCTGATACTCGCCGACTTGTACCAAGATACTCACCAACTTGTAACGAGATACTCGGCGATACTCGCCGTTGTATACTAAGATACTCGCTGATACTCACCGACTTTAAATGTATTCTTGTTGATGTGCACAGACATTTAAATGTATTGGAATACCCATCGACATGGTACCGAGATGGTCCTCATGGATACGTCGTGGAGGGCAGGGTGGGGGCGGTAGTGGCACTCGGCACGACGGGGCAAGGTGGTCCTCGGTTCGATTCCCGACTCGGGCACTGCTGTTTGTATGATCTCCCCCTGGTCTGTACGGGGTTTGCTCTCATAGCTCACAACAAAAACGTGGAACTGGTATTGGACCATACATCACAATGGTGAAAAATTACCTGCCAATTGAGATTGCGCGCTCCTGCAAACACTTGGCAGGACCCTGCTGAAAGAGCGTCGAGACTCGGCAAGGCTCTCCTGAGTAAGCGAGCGTAAGTCAACAAAGTCCGACACGATGGGAACCGAGCTTGCGCACACACGCACGTGTTAACACGCACGTGTGTTAACACACACGTGCGTGTTAACACGCACGCCGCCGCCCTGTGCCCCAGTGGCACCTACTGCTGGTGGGCAGAGGCCTTTGTCTCTCCGGGTTGCCGGTGGGCACCAGGTCGTAGCCACCTACTGTAGTCGGAGTGGTACTGAATGTGGTGTGCCGGGTGACGTGTGGCAGGAGAGGCGACTGGCAGATGTTCCACCACGACCGCCGCTTGGTCTGTGCCGGCGCGCGAGTTGAGGGGTTGACGGCGTTGGCAGTAATCCCTTTGGCTCCGCTCCATGATGTTTTCACATCCTCTCGACACGTCCTTCTTTGCGTCTTCCTGATCTGTAGTAGTCGAATTAAGAGCACAGCAGCCCTGTGTCAAGTAATCCACGGCTGGAAGAAGGCCTCCGATGGAACGGACTTTGCCTACTGGTCGACGTTGCTGCGTCGGGCCGGTGACCGCCACAGGAGCTGCCACGGCCGAGGGTTGAGACGCCGGCAAGCACCCGACCCCACCGCCGCCGGTCTCACAAGCCATGGCAAGACACTCCACAGAAGCCCCTTTTATTAAACCAACCCTATACATGGAACTGTTAGGATCACACCACGAATACTATAAACGAAGATTTCACCGCGAACACGGCGGCCGCTTCATGGTAAAACGCAGGCGCTTCAGAAACACAGCAGCAGCGACGCCAATAAAAGGATAATCACCACCACAACTCGCATGCAGACACCATGCCACTATGTACAAAGTTTACACAGACCACCTTCCAGTTCGTGAACCTCGTTTGCTTTCGAACATCTTTTCGTTGAAAAGTATGAAATAAAAACGCACTTAATTATCCATCGCTTTTTTTCCGAATGAAAATGAGCATGGCACCCGATGTGTTAAAAAATAAAAACTCCACATCACAGTCACAGAATCTCAAATGCAAAACGCCACTCTGCCATGCAAAACCATCCGGTAGAGCAGCCACCACAACCACGTGGCCCACAGGACCTATCGCAAGCATGCAACAACAGACCACAGGGCAGTGGACATGGTCCTGTAGACCAAGGGGTAATGACCAGGGCCCCATAGACCACAGGGCAATGTAGCTGGCCCTGTAGGCCAGGATACAGCCCAGTACACCACAGGGCCTTGCAGACCACAGGCTCCAACGAGCACCAGGACACAGAGAGGGCGCCTTGCGAGGGACACCGCGCTGGGTACAGTGATATGTTTAATCTATTCCATAAGGCCTCCGAGGCAGGGCTGTGCCGCCCGGTCGCCACCGGTGCCCATTCACAGTGAGGACGCACAACGGGGCGTCACGTGGGCGCCCGCGCTGCCATGTGGTAAGAAAAAGGAAGACGTGACCCGGCAGGGCATGGGCGAGCAAGAGCAGCAGGGAGCAGCAGGGAGCAGCAGCAGCCACATGGAGCAGCATGGACAAGCGTGGAGCAGCATGGGGCAGCAGCATGGAATAGCATGGACTAGCATGGAGGAACTGGCAGCAGAGAGCAGAATGGAATAGCATGGAGTAGCAGCAGTATGGAGTAGCATGGAGCAGCAGCAGCATGGAGCAGCATGGAGCAGCATGGAGCAGCAGCAGCATGGAGGAGCAGCAGCAGCATGGAGCAGCATGGAGCAGCAGCAGCATGGAGCAGCAGCAGCATGGAGGAGCAGCAGCAGCATGGAGCAGCATGGAGCAGCAGCAGCATGGAGCAGCATGGAGCAGCAGCAGCATGGAGCAGCAGCATGGAGCAGCATGGAGCAGCAGCAGCATGGAGCAGCAGCAGCATGGAGCAGCAGCAGCATGGAGCAGCAGCAGCATGGAGCAGCAGCAGCATGGAGCAGCAGCAGCATGGAGCAGCAGCAGCATGGAGCAGCAGCATGGACTTAGCCTGGAGGAACTGGCAGCAGAGAGCAGCATGGAGTAGATTGGAGCAGCAGGAGCCACTGTCGGCTGTGTCCAGTTTCAGCGCTACAATGAGTTGTTCTCATTACAGTTGTTAGACCCAGAATCGTAGTAACACTGTTCACTCAGATTTGTTCGCCGTGCCACAAAGCCGAATTGGAAGCGGCGACCTCTGGATTGCAAGCTGCGGAGCGATAACCGTGACAACCACGGCGGCTCCCGTCTACCCAAACGACTCGCCACAACTATGATCGCAGCCGCGCGCCGCTCCTCGTAGTTCACCGTCACGAGCGACGCGGTCGCTGGCGGGGATTGGACCCCAGGAGTCCGCCCCGTGGCCGTACAGACGGCATCGCCAGGAATAGCAGCAGGAGGCATATGGAGCCAGGGTTTTCCCTTCGTGTTTAGTGATTGTTTCCCCCCGTAGATTCGCGTTAACGCAACCGTGCCGGCACCACGGTCAAGGCCTCGCCGCCGGTTTCACAGAGGCACAACGGCAGCCTCACCCGAGAATAAGGCACATCGTGGCCACCACCACGCCCACCAGCCCGCTCGTGGAGGCAGACAGGGAAGGCGGGCGGGCGGGGGGGCTACGGGTGGGTGGGTTAAGGCTTCAGTGTTGTAAGACCCCAGGGCAGCATAAGTAAACTGACCAGGCTGGAGAAACGTTACCCAAAAGGTAAAACCACCACCAAGATGACAGCGCACACACACGCACACAGGCACACACAGCCTTATACACCCGATGGGGCAATTGCTGTTGGCGAGCACCTATTGAGGCACATGCTCACACGCAGACACACACGCACGCGTTAATGAAATAACAGATCGATTCAACGCCATAATGGATGGGGTTTTTTTCTGTTAGTCCCCACGAGGAACGGTCGACACCGATGGTTTGGCTGACTGGCCTTCATCAGGACACGACCTGAAACGTGTTTTTGTCGAAGAACCTGCGAGCTCACCGATTGGTTTGCGATAGGTTCATGGAAGCAGCAACTCCTCGCGGCGACCCATGCGATCACCATCGCGATCATGTGCGTACACGGGCGTGCACTCACTCACACGACCACACGCTTTACACGCTCGCCCACATGCTCACTCAGACTCGCACGCCTTCACAAGCATACCCACAGGCTCACCACCCTCATGCTCTTGTGCCAGGCTAAGTGCACTTTTGAAGCCATCACGTGACGTGGAGAAGGCTTGCTGCTGGCAGGAGGTCACGAGACAGACCCAGGTATTATAGGTTGACCGAGATGACTGGAAGATGCACCACCTGTGCTCCCGATTGTGCCAACTTGTTGTCGAGGGGGCGACCACCTCCAACTGCCCAGTAGCGTCCTTCACGAGCCTCCTCCTGCACAGAGGCCGATCTCGACACCGCTGGCACGTCACCGGCAAGTCCAATCAGCAAAACGTTCTGTCGTACCGCATCTACTTATTGTACCAACTCTCACACACACGCACACACTCAAGACGCTCGCACACGTGCACAACCCCGTGCGGTTTGCAGCACACGAGTGCCCTGCCGTGTCTGGCGGCGATGGCGTCCATCTCCTCTCGTAGGGCGAGTGCCGTCCAAGCCACCGCTCCCACACGTTGGGGTGGCGCTGGCGCAGCAGCATCACTCGCCGGCGTGCGGGTAGAGGCGGGCACCATCAGAACGCCGCCATCTTCCGGCTCGTGAGAGAGGAGGGGAGGCACCACCCCTGTCTGGCGAGTGTGGTTCACAGCGGACACCATCCCCCACCCCACCCCCCCCACGGTGTGCGCCAAGGGATGCCCATAACTTGCCGATGTGTGCAGTTGGGGGGGGGGGGGGTAGTAGGACCATCCCATTTCCTTTCCAGTGCGATGGAGCCGGAGAGTGGAGCGCCCGCCCCTCGCCGGTCGCAGTTGGGGGGGGGGGGGCAGGAGGGGGCGCAATCACTTGGCGCCGAAGCGCGTGGGCTGCATGAACATGGAGCGCAGGTCGTCGAGGTCGAGGCCGGAGCGGTGCAGCGACGGCTCCGAGGCGCTGCGGTGGATCTTGGGCAGTGCGTGCGCCAGCAGCTCGATCGACGCCAGGACCTGCGGCGCCGGCGGCGTCGGAAAAAGGGAATCGCCACGGAAGCGGCGGCGTCGGCGACCACAATGGCGTCGGACAATTTGGGGCAAGGGGAAAAAGCGGCGCACGTGGAACTCGACGGAACCCGCGAGTGAGCGGGCGCGCCTGTGTACGTGTGTGTGCGCACACTTGGGCGAGCGCGTGCATGCGTGGGGAGCGGTAGTAAGCAGGCTGCGCTACGAACCCGCGAGTTCGATACCTGCAACGGTGAAGATTATCTGAACCGGTCCTGGGCCTCGACTCGGCGTCAGAGGAGTACTTGGTGCGGCGTGTAAACATCAGCAATGGGGAGGCAAAGGCAGTCGGGCGTGGTGGTGGCCACCCTGCCCTTCGTGCGCCATGCTGACCTTCAAAGGTGCTAGCTAACACCGCTTGCCCCAAACAGTCTGTCAAGGCTACAGGAGGGGTTCTGTGTCTTTGTGCGTGCACGCGTGTGTGTGTGTGTGCGTGCGTGGTTGTTGTACCTGTGCGTGCGCGTGTGTGCGTGCGTGCACGCGTGTGCGTGCGTGCGTGCGAGTGCAAGTGTGCGTGCGCGCGAGTGTGTGTGTGTGCGCGTGAGTGTGTGCGTGTGTGTGTGTGCGTGTGTGCGTGCGAGTGTGTGTGCGTGCGAGTGTGTGTGCGTGAGCGTGTGTGCGTGAGCGTGTGTGCGTGTGAGTGTGTGAGCATGTGTGCGTGTGAGTGCGTGAGCGTGTGTGTGAGTGTGGGCGTGTGCGTGAGCGTGTGCGTGTGTGCGTGAGCGTGTGTGTGTGAGCGTGTGTGTGTGTGTGCGTGCGTGCAAGTGTGTGTGTGTGTGCGTGCGTGTGTGCGTGTGTGCGTGGGTGTGAGTGTCCTCACCTGTGTGAAGAGGGGCCGCTCGTCGCGCAGCTTCTTGAGGCAGTCGGCCATGAGCCTCCTCATGGCCTTGGGGCAGTTCCCACAAACCTTGCTCAGGTCCGGAGACAGGTAACCCCGCCCCACCATGAACAGGATCTGTGGGGGGTGGGGCGGAGGACAGGGCAGCGGGCGGGGTGATGCTTGTTCGCGTGTGTCTGCGCGCGTGTGGCAGATGTGTCCGTGTGCCTGCGTGAGGAACGGCAGTGTGGCGGTTAGCGAGCTGCGCTATGACCCCGACGAGTTCGATTCCCTCTCACGGCCAACACCAGGGACGATTATCTGAATCGGTCCTGGGGCTCCCCCAGGTCGACTCAGATTAGTACCTGCTGCAATGTGTAAACATCGCCACTGGGAGACAAAGGCGGTCGGGCGTGGTGCTGGCCACCAACCCCCTCGTGTGCCGCGCCGGCCTTTATAGGTGCTCGCTAACAGCACTTGCCCCTACAGTCTGCTAAGGCTATACAGGGGATCTTTGTCTTTGTGTTCATGTGTGGGTGTGCAGGTGTGTGGTGAACCTGGTCTCTGGAACAGATGTGTGGGTATGTGCGTGTGTGCGTGTGACCTGGTCTCGGGAGCCGATGTGCGCGTAGGGCAGCTCCTTGGCCATGAGCTCGTAGAGCACGATGCCGAATGCGTAGACGTCCGACTTGAACGTGTACGGGTTCGTGTCCTGCATGCGGACCACCTCTGGGGCCTCCACACATGGGCGCACAACATACACACGGCACGCGTTATACATCACACACACTGCCAAGGGGGGGTGGGGCTACATGACGGGGGTGGGGCTACAGGACAGGGGGTGGGTCTACAGGACAGGGGGTGGGGCTACAGGACAGGGGGTGGGTCTACAGGACAGAGGGTGGGGCTACAGGACAGGGGGTGGGTCTACAGGACAGGGGGTGGGGCTACAGGACAGGGGGTGGGGCTGCATGACGGGGGTGGGGCTACAGGACAGAGGGTGGGGCTACATGATGGGGGTGGGGCTACATGATGGGGGTGGGGCTACAGGACAGGGGTGGGGCTACAGGACAGGGGGTGGGGCCGACAGGAAAGATCCCAGTACAGTCATACCTCGGTAGACGACCGCTTTGGAATGTCGAATTTGGTATATGTCGTGTTTTGACGAGAAAAAAACATCTTGGGATACGACGCGTTTGCTAGAACTTGTATGGGTCGGGATGAGTCACCGCGTACCCACGTACACCCCGTTCACGACTGAAACAAAGCGCCGCTCCTCAGTCTGCCTGTAGATCTCATTCAGTGCACAACCATTGCTATAACTGTGAATTTTCACGTGTTTTTTTGTCATTTTAACGTGAATTTTTTGCCAATTCATTTAAGATGGGCCCTAAGAAGGTTAGTGAGAAAAGCCAAGCTACAAAGAAAATGGTTAGGATCACTATTGACGTAGAAAAAAGAGATAATAGAAAAGTATGAAAGCGGCATGCGCGTCACTGATCTTGCGGTGGCATACCGTATGCCAAGAACAATTTCGGCGATTGTGAAAAAAAAATAAGACATCAAATCAGCTAACGTTGCAAAGGGGGTGAAATTTATATCAAAACAAAGATCCTTTATATCTTATGGGAAAAATTCGCTTGGTATTCGTCATTTTCGGTAGAAGTCCTACCACTTCTGGTACGAATTAACGACGTATCCAGAGTTACCACTGTAGAAATGACAAATGACCGGGAGATGCAACACCTGTGCCACGCACCACACTCATCACACCACCACAGCCTGGTACACACAGAGCACACCCCCCCACACACACCACGCGCTCACCATCCACAGGATGGAGCCGGACAGGTTCTCGACTTGCTGAGCTCCGCTCCAGCGCGACTTGACGGTGGCGAGCCCAAAGTCGCCGATCTTCACCGTGAGGCCCTCGTGCAGGAAGATGTCTGTGCCGGCTCGTTAAGGGGGACGGCCTCAGAAGGGTCTCGTTCAAGGGGCGGTTCATTAGAGGGCAGCTTATTATGGGGGGGGGGGTAGCTAGCTACTAGGGTGAGTATGGGCACACACTTTCCACGTGTGTGCAATATTCATGTTTACAGCAACAACCGACTTTCGCTGTGACGTCACCACGGCAAACGGGAAAACTAGCACACGACCACCCTGGCACACCGCACACGTGGACACCTGTACAAAGACAAAGACCCCCGTATAGCCTCAACAAACTTTTGGGACAAGTGCTGTCGGTGAACACCTATGAAGGGCGGCACGACACGCGACACAAGCGGGCCGTGTGGCCAGCACCACGTCTGGCCGCCATGTTATCCCCAATCCTAATGTTTACAGACTGCACAAAGTATGCCTTTTAAGGCCGAGTCGACCTAGGGGAGGCCCATGACTGGTTGAGATAATCGTCACCGATGTTGGTCGCCGGGTTTGTCGCGTAGTGCCAATCGTAAAGAGACGAACACACGGGCGCACATACCCAATATGGTACACGGACAGACAAGTGTGTGCACATACCCAATATGGTACACGGACAGACACGTGCACGCACATACCCAATGGTACACAGACACAAACGCGCACACATACCCAAACGTACGCAACATACCTTGCAAAGCCCGCCCCGGCAGCGCCAGCTGGCAGTGAGGATACTGTTGGATTTGAGGTCACGGTGGATGATGTTTTTCGCGTGGAGGTAACTGAAAAAATAAAACAAGAATTATACTATGGGACCTCCTTTTCCAGTACCAAAATATGAAAATAGATTTTCCCCTTTATTCTGGCAACAAAACAGGTGTTAAGATGTTAAAACACCAGGAATCATGTGTGCATTAACCACAATACTTGTGGTCACAATAAAAACAAAAAACACTCTGATAGTATATGCATTGTCTTTGTTCTCACACCGTTTGAGACTAGGCTCGAAAGAAAGCTGTCTCTGGTGTGGACCAATCAGTTTCAAAGACAATGCAAATACTATCAGAGTATGTTTTTTGTTTTCATTCTGACCACAAGTATTGTGGTTAATGCAGACATGATTCCTTGTAAAAAGGTTTCAGTTTGGTGTTTTAACATCTTAACACCTGTTTTGTTGCCATAAAAATGGGGAAAACCTATTCTCAAGAATTATACCAACGGTGGTGATGGTGGTGCAAATTATTTATCTCGTTTACCCAGGAAAGCCACGCTGAGCCTCAAGACTCTCTGGGTCTTACCTGGTAAAATAAAAAATAGTTTAGTTTATAGTTTATCAGGAGGGTCTTGCCAAGTGTTCACAGTAAGGGGTGATGTTGCCAACCCCCGCCGCCAAACTGACGGTGGCGGCGACGGCGTCGCACTCACTCCATGCCTTGCGCCGTCTGGCGGGCGATGTCGATGAGCTGGAACACCTCGAACTTGCTCTCGTTGACGTGCAGGTGGCGGTAGAGGCTGGAGCCCTCGCACCACTGCGTGACGATGGCGAGGCGGGGCTTCGTCAGATATCCCATGAACAGCACCACGTTCACGTGCCGCGTCTTCCTGCGGGGTGCGGGGGCGGAGGGGGAAAGGGGCCGTGAGGGAGAGGCAGGGGAGAGCGGCGGCGGGGAAGGGCGGAGGCGCACGAGGTGCGTGATGGAGCAGCAGGCCTCGACGTGGTTTTGAGTAGAGCTATCACATTAACTGATGATCCGGCATGCTCACAGATTCAATTCAGCCACCTGCTCGCTCACCGGCAGTCAGTCGCCTCCTTGTCACGCTGCTGTCGCTACTATTATCGTGGTTACCATGCCCATGAAGGTCACTCACTGATTCACTCCACCCGTGTTGAGTATTCGGTCGGGACCAGGCACCGACTGTTTCGTCTCATCCATCACACTGTGTTCAACCACCAGACTGCAGATCACAACAACGACTCACCCTCTCCACACTGTAGGCCACACCAACACACTCACTCACACACTCAACAATAACAGCCGCCATTCACCACTAATTGGCAGTGACATCATCACCAGACGAGGTGCACCATGAGGCTACATTCTCAGGTCCTGATGTCTCTCCCCCTCTCTCTCTCGCTCCGTCTCCTACCTGAGCACAGCCACCTCGTTCTTGAAGGCCTGCAGCTGCTGCGGAGTGGGATCGGTCACTTTCAGGATCTTCACAGCCACGTCTCCTGCGCAACACAACCGCGGCACAATCGCGTCACAACGTGCAACCAATAACGCAGGGGGACTATAACACACAGCCATGATGCCATGTCACACACACACACATACAATCACTTTCAGGACCTTTGCATACACGTCTTCTGCACGGCACAAACGCAGCACAACCCACTGCGCTCCGGTGACACTGACAGGACACGTCCATGACAGAGGGCCCACATGGCAGTATCACAACATGCACAAACACTGCACCACGCCACGGGCACGGCTATTGCTAGGCAGGTAACCCATTGATTGGCTCGCGCCGCGATGCCACTTATTACTATGATTCAGGCTCCCGATGCTAGTCGTGGATTTGTGAGCAGCTGCTGCTGCACTCCGCCGGCACACACCAGCCACCAAACCCCACCGCCACTCAAGGCACGATGTGCCGCAAGTCACCCGATACAACAACCAGCACCGCCACCAGAGGGAACATTCACCCAACATCACCGCTCCACAGAACACAGCCTCCGGCTCTTCCGACAACTCTCTCTCGCTCTCTCCGCTCATTCCACCTCTCTCCACCTCTGTAGCCTCCTCCTTCACGTCAGGAGTACTTTACACGCGAAGAACGACTTGCATCGCATCTCATCTCAACACATTTGAAAGGGCACCTCTCACAGCAACTGTTCCTATGTGGCACAAGGTCACTCAACACTTGGCCTGTAAGTGGGCAGGAGTCTGCGAGTAGGAGGCGATGATTGCTGCCATATGTGTAATCTAACTGAACAATAATTCCATCCACTCGACTTGCCTCCCTCCCTCTCCTCTCTCACTTCCCACCCTTTAACCCCCATCCCTCTCTCCCCTCCACTCCCTCTCAAATTCCCCCACCACCCCTTCCCCCACCTCACCGTGCCACTTGCCCTTGTACACGGTCCCGAAGGAGCCCGAACCGACCATGTTCAGGAGGGAGATCTCCTCCTCCCGAATCTCCCAGTAGTAGCACGAGTCCCGGCCACGGAACTAGAGAGCGCGTGGACGTGGGGGCAGACACGCGGGGAGACACGCGGGGAGACACGCGGGGAGACACGCGGGGAGACACGCGGGGAGACACGCGGGGAGACACGCGGGGAGACACGCGGGGAGACACGCGGGGAGACACGCGGGGAGACACGCGGGGAGACAATGACACACACCGGGGCACACGGGTAGGGGGCACAAGGAGTAAGAGGAACACATGAGAAGGCATAAGGAATACCTGCGTGCTATCACTCGTGCACGTGTACGCAGCTGTGCGTGCCGTCACACGCACCGCACCGCGTGTGTGTGGTGCCACGCGTGTACGTGCCGCCACACGCGTGTACCAGGCGGTTCTTCTCGTCCGAGGGCCGGCGGATGGCGGGTGAGCGGTGCAGTCGACTGGATGTCCCGGCCCTGGTTTCGGTAGTGTCCTCCACCACTTCCACACTCGACACTGGAGCCGCGCCAACACGTGAGATGAGAGATGTGTGGAGAAGGTGGGGGGGGAGTGCAAGGTGAGGCATGCAAAATGGTGATGGGAGGAGATCGGCAGACGGGTCGCATCACACTGCTGAAACGTTGGGGAGGGTGGTTGTTGTGAGTGTTGGACTCACCCACGTCAGCAGAGGGTTGTTGCTGCTGCTGCTGCTGGGTTTGCACGAAGGACTAGGGAGAACAGGGAACACGCAGATGGTGTGTGAGTGGATGGGTGAGCGTGTGGGAGAATATGAAGGTGGGTAAGCGTGTGGGTCGGTGGGTGGATCAACGAGCGGGTGGTTGAGCGGGTGGGCCACAGGAGACGTGAGTTGTGGGTGAGTGGGAGGGAGGGTGGGTAAGAGGAGGAGGGGGTGACTGTTTGGGTAGGTCGGGGAGCGGAATAGCGGGTGAATGGATAAACGGGTGGGCCAGAGGAGGAGTCGGTGATGATGTGGGTGGGTGGGCCAGCACCTCTATGAAGCCCACATCCACGTTGCCTATGACGCTCGAGTTGATGTTGGGGGTGGAACTCGCTCGATCTCGCTGGGTCAGCTGACCTCCGTGATCGCCTCCGATGGATGGGAACTGGAAGGTTTGCGTGGATAAACGCCTGGCGAAGCACACGTGCACACACAGACAAAGATCTCCCATCTAGTCTACACAGGTTGTTGGGAAGGAGAGGAGGTGACGTCACCACAGCGCTTGTTTCAGGCTAGGTGCACTTTGAGGCAAAGGTGAAGTATTGAAGGCTCGCTGGTAGGAGGTCCCCTCACGCACACACACACAGGTACAACCACACGCACACACACACAGGTACAACCACACGCACACACACACACACACAGGTACAACCACACGCACACACACACACACACAGGTACAACCACACGCACACACACCACACCAGGTACAACCACACCACACACACACAGGTACAACCACACGCACACACACACACACAGGTACAACCACACGCACACACACACACACACAGGTACAACCACACGCACACACACACACACAGGTACAACCACACGCACACACACACACAGGGTACAACCACACGCACACACACACACACAGGTACATCCACACGCACACACACACACAGGTACAACCACACGCACACACACACACAGGTAAAACCACACGCACACACACACACAGGTAAAACCACACACACACAGGTACAACCACACGCACACACACACACAGGTAAAACCACACGCACACACACACACACACACAGGTACAACCACACGCACACACACACAGGTACAACCACACGCACACGCACACACACACAGGTACAACCACACGTACACGCACACACACACAGGTACAACCACACGTACACGCACACACACACAGGTACAACCACACGCACACGCACACACACAGGTACAACCACACGCACACACACAGGTACAACCACACACACACACACAGGTACAACCACACGCACACACACACACACAGGTACAACCACACGCACACACACACAGGTACAACCACACGCACACACACACACAGGTACACCACACGCACACACACAGGTACAACCACACGCACACACACACACAGGTACAACCACACGCACACACACAGGTACAACCACACGCACACACACACACACACAGGTACAACCACACGCACACACACACACACAGGTACAACCACACGCACACACACACACACAGGTACAACCACACGCACACACACACACAGGTACAACCACACGCACACACACACACACAGGTACAACCACACGCACACACACACACAGGTACAACCACACGCACACACACACACAGGTACAACCACACGCACACACACAGGTACAACCACACGCACACACACAGGTACAACCACACGCACACACACACACACAGGTACAACCACACGCACACACACACACAGGTACAACCACACGCACACACACACACACACAGGTACAACCACACGCACACACACACAGGTACAACCACACGCACACACACACAGGTACAACCACACAACAACAACAACCGCCATTCGCCACTAAGTGGCGGTGACGTCACCACGACGCTTGTGCCAGGCCATGTGCACCTTGAGGCCACGTGAAGTGTCGAACGCCCGCTGGCAGGAGGTCACGGGGCAGACTCAGGTGCCACGGGTCGACTGAGATGGCCGAGATGAGTGGCTGATGCACGACCTGTGCCCCCTACTGTACCAACTTGCTGTGCTTTAGCCACCCGGCGCTCCGCTCGTTGTTGTGAGCGTCGCTCCTCCGCCCTCCGTTGTTGTTGGAGGGCGACTGCCTCCAACTGCCCAGTAGCGTTCTTCACGAGCCTCCTCCACTGAGGCCGATCTTGACACCGCTGGTACCAGTCATCGGCAAGTCCACTCAGCTCCATGTCCTCCTGTACCACATCACTCCATCTCTTCTCTAGCCCGTGCCGCGCCCGTTTAGCCCCCTCGATCCGGCCGAACAAAAGCTATTTAGGCATGCGGTGGCTGGGCATGCGGGCTACATGACCCAGCCAACGCAGCCTTGCCTGCCGGAGGAGCTCACTGATGGGACTTTGCCCAGATCTTTCAAGGACTTGTGAGCTCCTCACACAATCCAGCCTGGTTAAACCCAGGATGGATCGTAGGCAGGCCAGCCTAAATGTTTCCAACCGGCGAAGATGCTCCACTAGGGGGGTCCACGTTCCGCAAGCGTAGAGAAGGGAGGGAATGACCGTGGCCGAGAAGACCTGAAGCTTCGTGCGGAGCGACAGACCAGGTAGCTTCCACACAGCGTTACGCAACCGATGAAAAGATATTGCCGCTCGACTGATTCGGAGTGAGACCTCTGCTGATAAACTGGAGCCGGTCATAAGCACACTGCCCAGGCATGGGAAACTCTCCACTCTCTCCACAACTGCCCCATCACCAATTGGGAGTTGTGGGGGTGGAGTGTCCGATGGTACAAATACCCAGGCAGGTGCTTAGTTTTGGTGGGGCTGATGGTAAGGCCCCACCTCTTAGTGGCACGCTCCAGTCTCAGCAGCAGCGTCTCCAACTCCTCTTCTGAATGAGCAGCTATTACCAAATCATCGGCATACATAACGTGGTTGACCAATAGGGAGCCATCCCTTGATCGCACCCGGGCATCGATCAGCCTCCCATTATATCTGTACCAAATGGAAATTCTCCCGGTACAGCTATTGAAGGCTTCACGAACTACGCGGTCAAAATAGATGTTAAATAATGTGGGAGCCAGAGGACATCCCTGTCGCACCCCAAGGTGTACAGGGAAAGGCTCCGACTCCCGGCCACGTAGTTTTACCCGGGCCCGCTCACCATCATGAAGGTCCTTAATGATCGTGAGCAGAGGGTCAGGGACTCCGAAAGCACGAAGAACAACCCAGAGCCCAGTCCTACTGATGGTATCATAGGCCTTGACCAGGTCAATAAAGCAGAGATGTAGGTCTTTTTGGAATTCCCTACACCTCTGCTGTAGCAGACAGACAGAAAATATGGCATCTGTGCAGGACCGCCCTTTCCTGAAACCGCATTGGGGCTCCGCAAGCCTCTCCTCAGCGTGCCTAGCAAGGCGATGTTGAATAATCCTTGCCAGGACCTTACCCGGCACACTGAGGAGTGAGATGCCCCTGTAGTTGTTACAGTCGGTATGGTCCCCCTTTTTAAAGAGGGGGACCACCAGGGCATCCTTCCAGTCCTGCGGAACCCGTCCAGTGGTCCAGACTGTTGTTATGATGTCATATAGGGCAGTCTGTGCACAAACGCCACCCTCCCTCAGCATTTCGCTTGGGAGATCATCTCTGCCCGGTGCCTTCCCTGGTCTCAGACTCCGGATCGCCCTCAGTACTTCCTCAACAACTGGCACCTCAGCCAGCCACTCACAGGGGGTGACCTCTTCCAATATTTGAGGCACCGCAGCCTCAGCAGGGTTATCACCACTTTGTGCCATGATGTTTTCCTGGCTGAGAGAATTTCCCTCCCCCAGGACCTCACAGAAATGCTCAGCAAATCTGCAAACCTGTTCCTGGGGGTCGGAGATTGGATCACCGTTTTTTCCTCTAATGATGGTAATATGTGTGGCGCTGCAGGTTACTTTTTTGATGGAGTTAAATAGTGATTTGTGATCACGGGCCACTGAGGCAGACTCCATCTCCTCAGCAACCCACGACCACCAGCCATCCTTACAGCGCCTTACAACCACACGCACACCACACACACAGGTACAACCACACCCCACACACACACACAGGTACAACCACACGCACACACACACACACAGGTACAACCACCCGCACACACACACACACACAGGTACAACCACACGCACACACACACACACAGGTACACCCACAGCACACCCACACACACACAGGTACAACCCACAGCACACACACACACAGGTACAAACCACACGCACACACACACACACAGGTACAACCACACGCACACACACACACACAGGTACAACCACACGCACACACACACACACAGGTACAACCACACGCACACACACACACACACAGGTACAACCACACGCACACACACACCACAGGTACAACCACACGCACACACACACACAGGTACAACCACACGCACACACACACACAGGTACAACCACACGCACACACACACACCAGGTACAACCACACGCACACACACACACACAGGTACAACCACACGCACACACACACACAGGTACAACCACACGCACACACACACACACAGGTACAACCACACGCACACACACACACAGGTACAACCACACGCACACACACACACACAGGTACAACCACACCACACACACACACACACAGGTACAACCACACGCACGCACACACACACACAGGTACAACCACACGCACACACACACACACAGGTACAACCACACGCACACACACACACACAGGTACAACCACACGCACACACACACACAGGTACAACCACACGCACACACACACACACAGGTACAACCACACACCACACACACACACAGGTACAACCACACGCACACACACACACAGGTACAACCACACACACACACAGTACAACCACACGCACACACACACACACAGGTACAACCACACGCACACACACACACCACAGGTACAACCACACGCACACACACACACACAGGTACAACCACACGCACACACACACACACAGGTACAACCACACGCACACACACACACACAGGTACAACCACACGCACACACACACACACACAGGTACAACCACACGCACACACACACCACAGGTACCAGCCACACGCACACACACACACACACAGGTACAATCACACGCACACACACACACACAGGTTACAATCACACGCACACACACCACAGGTACAACCACACGCACACACACACACAGGTACAGCCGCACGCACACACACACAACACACAGGTACAGCCGCACGCACACACACACACAGGTACAGCCGCACTACACAACACACACACACACAGGTACAACCACACGCACACACACACACACAGGTACAACCACACGCACACACACACACACAGGTACAACCACACGCACACACACACACACACAGGTACAACCACACGCACACACACACACACACAGGTACAACCACACGCACACACACACACACACAGGTACAACCACACGCACACACACACACAGGTACAACCACACGCACACACACACACAGGTACAACCACACGCAACACACACACAGGTACAACCACACGCACACACACACACAGGTACAACCACACGCACACAGGTACAACCACACGCACACACACACACAGGTACAACCACACGCACACACACACACACAGGTACAACCACACACACACACAGGTACAACCACACGCACACACACACACAGGTACAACCACACGCACACACACAGGTACAACCACACGCACACACACACACACAGGTACAACCACACGCACACACACACACACAGGTACAACCACACGCACACACACACACACAGGTACAACCACACGCACACACACACACACACACAACCACACACACACACAGGTACAACCACACACGCACACACAGGTACAACCACACGCACACACACACACACAGGTACAACACACGCCACACACACAAAGGTTACAACCACACGCACACCCACACACAGGTACAACCACACGCACACACACACACACAGGTACAACCACACGCACACACACCACACAGGTACAACCACACGCACACACACACACAGGTACAACCACACGCACACACACACACACAGGTACAACCACACGCACACACACACACAGGTACAGCCACACGCACACACACACACAGGTACAGCCACACGCACACACACACACACAGGTACAATCACATGCACACACACACAGGTACAACCACACGCACACACACACACAGGTACAGCCGCACGCACACACACACACACAGGTACAGCCGCACGCACACACACACACAGGTACAGCCGCACGCACACACACACACACAGGTACAACCACACGCACACAACACACACACAGGTACAACCACACGCACACACACACACACAGGTACAACCCACACGCACACACACACACACAGGTACAACCACACGCGCACACACACACACACAGGTACAACCACACGCACACACACACACACACACAGGTACAACCACACGCACACACACACACACACAGGTACAACCACACGCACACACACACACAGGTACAACCACACGCACACACACACACAGGTACAACCACACGCACACACACACACAGGTACAACCACACGCACACACACACACAGGTACAACCACACGCACACACACACGTACAACCACACGCACACAGGTACAACCACACGCACACACACACACACACAGGTACAACCACACGCACACACACACACACAGGTACAACCACACGCACACACACACACAGATACAACCACACGCACACATACACACACACAGGTACAACCACACGCACACACAAAGGCACACACAGGTACAACCACACGCACACACAAAGGCACACACACGCAGGCAAGTGAAGGGCGGGGGGGGGGGCATTGTGTGGATGCTGCCTGTGGATACCTGGAGGTGGTGGGCAGCACAGCAGAGTGGGGGGGACCAGAGAAGGTGGCGAAATGGAAGGTGTGGCCCTCCTGGCGGACGAGACTCGGGGTGTAACACTCGGTGAGCCTGTACAACGATAAAGATCCCCGTGTAGCCTTTAACAGACTGCTGGGGCAAGTGCTGTCAGCACCTATGAAAGCGAACAGGGCGCATGAGAAGGGGTTGGTTTGGCTACCATCACGCCCATCCACCTTTGTCTCCCCAGTGGAGATGTATCCACAACGCATCAAGGCACTCATTTAAGGACGATTTAGCCTAACGGAGGCTCAGGCATGAGGGAAATGGAGGACTGCTTCAGATATTCGTCACCGATGTTGGTCAACAGCGGGAATCAAACTTGGGTTGTCGGGTTCGTAGCACGTGTACTTTTGGCTCGTTAGTGGCGGGTCACATAAGCACGGCTCGTTAGTGGTGTGTGGCTCGTTAGTGGTGTGTGGCTCGTTAGTGGTGTGTGGCTAATTATCGGTGAGTGTGTGGGGGTGGCTTGTTCGCAGTGCGAGTGTGTGTGCTGCCCTTACCGCAGGCGGTTCACGTTGATGCACATGACGGGCACCTCGGTGCTGCAGCGCTGGTGGAACTTGTAGCCGCATGTCTGGCAGCGGAAGCCCTGGAACATGAGCTTCAGGCAGAAGTCACAGAACGCCAGCCGGAAGAACGTCTTGCGCACCTGGGGGGCGGGAAGCGGGAGGTGGGATGCGGGGCGTCGGAGATGGGGGGGCGGGGAGTAGGAGATGGGGGGGCGGGGCATACATAGAGGCGGGGTATGGGAGATGGGGAGGGCAGACGGTGAAATGAGGTGAGCTGCATACCAAGTTGCGCTGCATACCAAGTTGCGCTTGGTGTGATGCTTTGCAGTTCGTGTTGAATGGCGGCAAGTGATGCGAGGTGAGCATGGTGGCGATTGGTGAGCTGCGTACGAAGTTGTGGGTGGTGACCGTGACGTTGTCCTTCAGCTCCACCTGGAGCTCCTCGGTGCCAACGCTCGCCATGTCCACGTCCCAGCTGAGAGCCGACCTCATGCTGCCCGTCACACCCCGCGTCGCACATCACACAACCCTCGTCACATCCCACGTAACACACCACGTCACACACTGCATCACACGCCACGTCATTATCCCGCATCACACGCCACGTCACATCACACCCGGCGCGCGATGCCAGTTCCAGTGGCGTGCTGTGCCAGTTGCGGTGGGACGGCGTGTATGCACCGGAACCGGGCGGCGGCATACCCGTCGCGCACTGTGAAGACATTGCAGTAGTCGGGGATGAGGCCGCGGATAGCAAGGGCCTTGTTCAGGCTCTCCCTCACCGAGGAACCACCCCGCACGTGCACCTGCACACACGCACGCACGCACAAAAGTCCCCCGTGTAGCTTTAACAGACTGCTGGAGCAAGTGCTATTAGCGAGCAACTATAAAGGCTGGCACGGCACACGAGGGCGTGGTGTGACCATCACGACGCCCGGCCGCATTTGTCTTCCCAGGGGTGATGTTACACACCGCACTAGATACTCATTTGAGGCTAAGTCTACCCAGGGGAGGCCCAGGACCGGCTCAGATATGCAGGAATCAGACTCAGGTTACTGGGTTCGTAGGGCAGTCCGCTAACCTTTATGCTACCACCACCACTCCGCCACCACGTTACCCCCTCAACATGTTATCATCTCACCAAGACACCACTTCACCACGTTACCACCTCACCAGGCCACCCCCTCACCAGCTCAGCACCTCAACAATTTACCATCTCACCATGTTATCACATCACCACCCCACTATGTCACCGGCGTGGGTCACTCACCACGGTGCGCTGTTTGTTGGGCAGAGACACGCGCAGCAGGCCCGGCGTGTCGCCCTGCTGCTGTGCATTCTGGGAAGGGCTGCTGGGTCCTCCTGGTGCATGCTGGGAGCGGGAGGGGGAGGAGGGCGAGGGGGCATGCGGGGTTCGGGGGGGCGGGGGGGACTGCGTTACGCAGCCCCCGTTACGAGCTGCCTCCATGAGGGGGGGGCGCAGGATGGGCCTCAGTCGGTCAGCACAGCCCTGCAGAACAAAGGCAAAGATCCTCATATAAACAAAGATTCCCCGCATAGCCTTAGCAGACTGTTGGGGAAAGTGCTGTTAGCGAGTATCTATGAAGGCCAGCATGGCACACGAGGGGGTGGGTGGCCAGCACCACGCCCGGCCGCCTTTGTCTTCCCAGTGGCAATGTTTTACACACTGCACCATGCACTCGTTTGAGGCTGAGTCGACCTAGGGGAGGTCCAGGATCCGTTCAGATAATCGCGACTGATTTTGGCCGTGAGTGGGAATCGCCGAGTTCGTACCTCAGCGCGCTAACCACTACACTAGCTATACTTATACACTCACCCACTTAATTACACACACACACTCACCCATACACTCAAGATACCCACTCAATAATTTACTCAGTCACACAATTACTCACTAAACGGAATTACCCACTCATTTACTCACTCAATGTCTTGAACACTGACTCACTGGTTGCTCTCTCGTTCAACCACCGCAAACGCGCCCAATCACACATTCACTCACACGCTGACTCGCTCACTCCATCCACGACTTGTTTTCTACCTTCGGCAATTTCACTCAATGTTTTTTTCATTAATTAATTTGCTTACTCATTTACTCACCCAATCCACTACACATTCACTCAGTCACGAATTCACTCTCACAAGCTCTCACTCACTTCTACACTGTTCCACTAAGCCACTCACTCATTTGTAATTATCACTCGCCCAATCCTACCCTCCCACCCTCCGTCTTCCTCCGTCAGTCACGTGACACAAGGTGTCCGACAACAGATTTTACAGCACCGGCGATCGAGCTAATCCGCCCGCGACCCGCACGGCCACCATCATCACGACGACAACGATGACAATCGTTACAACCACAGCCCCGCCACCGCCACACCTCTCCCCAATGCTCACCACTACTCCCCACCGGTAGCCATGGCTGTCCACCACGAGCCACCACTGCCCACCTCTCTCACCCCCTACACCGAGCTGCGGCAAGCGGCGCCTTTATGAGGCCGCACCTTTGCCCGCGCGACTCACGCTTGCGGTGGGGAAAACCCGGAGTGGCTCGTTTTATCTGATGAAACCAGAGCCGGCCCCGAGGGTGGGCAGGCACCACACACAGGCCCCTCCCGGCCACCACAATCGTCAGCTCCTCCATCCGTCTGTCCTTTAGCCCGTCCGTCTGTGGCGTGGAATTTGAACCCAAGCGCCACCGGGGTCGACTGTCGTCTAAACCAAGAACTCTGGTTTTGGTCGGCTTCGCTAACCGGTAGACCGGTTCCCCAAAAACATTTGGGATTCCAAAAGCTTTTGTTTAACACGCCTGACTCTGCTGATGATACCCAGAAAGTTCAAACCAGTGCAGAGTTTGCTTGTTTAATTAAACAAATTCTGCTTGACAATCAATGTCTGGAAAGCCAATACAGTATGCTGAAGTTATTAAACAATATGTAATGTACATGTGGAAAGACAAAATGGAGATCTGCTTAAAAATGTCTAAACATTGAGAAGTGATGGTACACGCCGGGAAAGGCCATGTGTAGTGGCACCGACAGCAAGTTCTCAGACATTGGGATGGTCGGACACCACAACACACAGACACCGGTACCCGAGGATATTTATAATCTCGCCCGGCGTAGGATCCAAATTTACCCGACCACCGCCCCTCTCGGGGTGGGGTGTAAGTGGTGGGACGTCCCTTCCACACGGCTAATAAGGCAACGAGTGTGGCACAGTTTCTCTCACGAGACCCCCCCCTCATCCCGACAGGAGCCAGCAGAGCATGTGTGATGCTGCCTGGTTAAGACGAAACGCTCCACAGATAAGGTGCGAGTCAGGTGCCAGGGTTAGTGTCAGTTTCATGGCCAGGATAAGGTTAGGGCCATGGGTAGAACAGGCCTATGGGTAATGTTCGGGTAAGGGCCAGCGTTTTGGTTAATGTTATGAGCAGGGCTAGCAAGAGGGTTAAGCTGATAGTTAAGATTAAGATTGAAGGTGGGGTTAAGGTGAGTGTCAGGACTAGGGTGATAAGAAGCATTGAGGGTTATGGTATAGCGAGAGAGGGGGGCCCAGCTCCTTAAATCCTTGTAAAGAATCCTGGCTGCTTTCAAATGATTATGCTGCTCAATACCGATACCAGTCAATTACCAGGTGACAGCAACTCTCTCCTCTACAGCCTCCCCACACCCCTCACTGCCCCACATCGTCACTGCAGACATTTTAGCTGCACAGTAAACGTGATCACATCTCCCCAATCCCACAATCTCTCCACCGGCTCCCGATCCAATCTTCAAGATCTTCCATGGCCTCGCCCTGTATGCCTCTCCCTTCCCATCTCGCTCTACTCCCCTCCACGAACTATCCAAATCCAAGGCTTTCGATCGGAGCACCCAGCCAACTTTCACTCAGTCGAAGGTCGCTCATTCTACTCTGCTACACCAAAAGTCTACAACTTATTTCCTCAGTCGTCCGTGCTGTCGACTCCCAGCCCCCATTCAAGCCCAGGCTCAAACATTGCCCTGCTTCTACCACATACGACTGCCTCTATGTGCTAAAGGAGCCCACTGTTTCTGTACATCCTCTTGAGATGCAGTTGCGTTTTGCCACCGCTATACAATTCCGAGTTTTAATAGGGTCCACTGACCACTTTAACCTGCTCGCAATGCGTGAAGGGGCATCGCTATCGCTGGCTTCAATAGCAAGTTCTCACTAAGTGCCCAACAGCAGCAGGGGCGACGATGACACGGCCCAGTGGTAGCGAGTTTGCCGGTAGATGAACCCACAGATACGTGCCCCGTCTGCTTGGCAGTGGATGTTAAAACTTCCCGTTAAGTAATTCAAAACGAGCAGGACATCGACAATACGAAGCTACAATTTCACATCGCCATATCGTGCCCAACGATGAAACTACTAGGGGTTGTGAAACATCACTCCTTCGTAACAGCATTGCAGTATAACAATGGTGCAAATACCAAATGTACGAAATCGATCTTTTTCATGATAAATGTCGTATACCAACCTCCACCCGAAAAAGTAAATGTGTGAAGTTTGTCACGTGAACAGAACGTGCAATGTACGACTACTTGAGCACACCGGTGTAATAGAGAGCACCACTACACAACATTTCCAATTGTAAATTACAATTGTAAATGTTTTTCGTAAATAACAATTATAAATGTTGCGCTGAAATAGTAATAATTTGGCACTTTCGACACCACCACTTTTAATAACCCCACTCTTTATCTCAACCACTATCATCGTATGTACAATGTTTTAATTGCTGGAAAGCATCTTGGAATAAGGCGTTATGTAAATGTTATACGGGAGAGCGGGTGAGTTGAGAGTGGGGCTCAGGAGGAAGAGCCGGGTCAGGGAGGAGGAGTGGTTATAAACTACTTTCTATGTTCATAAAAGACGTTGTCTGGGTTACATCGCGTAAATGTGGCGTTAAACCCGCCACCACCCGACAGCCGATTAATAAGGTTTGTCACGTAACACAAAACATGCCCATTCGTTACGAGTACAGCACACGGGCCTGGCTACAAATGACAGCTCAACAGAGTGGATTATCACGTGGACATCTACAGCAGCAGTAGCCAACAATTCCGGGAAGGAGATCGAAGTCACGGAGTATTCCCCGTGAGAGGGGGTGCCCTGCATCTGCCTCTCTGCCTCTCTGCCTGCAGCCGTGCGCCTCGACCCCGCAGGGAGTCCAGGAAAACGCGGGGCCCCCCTCGCGGCCTACCCGCAACACCTCTCCGCCCCGCACGAAACCCCCGCAGGAAATCCCGGGCTCGGCGGCCACCGCGAGGCTCGGAGACCGAACGTGGCCGATCGCGCGCCGCGCACGCGAGCTCACGGGGACAGGGAGGGGGGAACTTTAACAACAACGACGACGACGACAACAACTTCCATCAAACTCGAGAGGCGATCACTCACCCGGGACCCGCCATGGCGTGACGTCAGGCACCGCCCAGCGGACGGCCTCGCCCCCTCAACTTAAAACCCCGCCCATGATCTAAGCCCCGCCCACGACTTAAGCTCCGCCCACGATTTAAGCCCCGCCCACGATTTAAGCCCCGCCCACGATTTAAGCCCCGCCCACGACTTAAGCTCCGCCCACGACTTAAGCTCCGCCCACGATTTAAGCCCCGCCCACAAGCTCAACCTCCCGCCCACTCAAGCCATGCCCCGCCCATCAGCGGTCAGGAGCCAATGAACGCGGCGCTCCTGTTTAGGCGCCGCCTTTAAGCCATTGACCCTTTGCAGGCGAGGGGAGTCGGGGGGGGGGGCAGCATTTCCGGCGCCGCGAGGGATTGTGGTAGCCACGTACCGGAAGCGCGGCCTGTGGTCGCTGAGATCGAAGAGCGCTCGCTGCAACCATGGTGACAGTGGGGGGTCGGGGACCCCCACGTGGCCCCAAGGGACCCCCGTGTAGTCCCCGCTTGCGTCTCTGTGTGCCGCCCTGTGTCTCCATGTTTCTTTCCCTCGATCCCCCGCTGTCTCCCCTGTGTCCCCGTGATCCCAGGTCCCAGTGTGCGTGTCCCTCCAGCCCCCCCTGGTCCCGTGGCTCACTGTCCATGCGGCCCCCATCCCCTGGTCTCAGGACTCCCCGTGTCTCCCTTTACCCCCCTCCGTATCCCCAGATGTTACTGTAGATGTTGGCGTGTGGGGAGCAGTTCTGTCGTTGTGGTTAACGCACGGATTCACGAACGAGTTCGAGTCGCGCTCACAACCCATCATCGATAACGAATATCGAAACCGTTCCTGTGCCTCCTGTAGGTCGACTCGGCCTTAAATGAGTAACTGGTGCGGTATTTCAGCACGAGGGAGACAAAAGGGGCCTCGGCTTGGTGCTGGCCACACTCAATTCTGCTCGCCAACAGTTGCCCCATAAGACGGTCTCATGGGGCAACTGTTGGGATGAGTGAGTAGATGTTGTGGGTCTTCGTGTCGCTTGTGGTCACAATTCCGTGGCCGTGCTTCGGCTGTTCCCCTGACACTCTCCCTGTGCCCCCGTCCCCTCTTCCTCGTGCAGGCTCGCAATGCGGAGAAAGCGATGTGAGTCCCAACCCCTCCCTGCTCTGCACCTACAGCCTCCGTTTGTGCCACTCTGTAATTTAATTGCCGCTTCTATCTCCACTTGAGCCATACGTTACCGCCAGACTCATCGCCGTGAACGATAGCACGTCATCCCAACACTCCGATCGCTCCCTCCACCGGCTCCCACTCTCATTTGAGATCAACTTCAACATCGCGATCACTGTCTTCAAGATCCTCATATCACTCCACCCCCCCTCCACACGCACTCCTACCTCTCATCTCACTCCACTCCCCCTCCACACACACTCCTACCTCTCATCTCACTCCACTCCCCCTCCACACACACTCCTACCTCTCATCTCACTCCACTCCCCCTCCACACACACTCCTACCTCTCATCTCACTCCACTACCCCTCCACACACTCCTACCTCTCATCTCACTCCACTCCCCCTCCACACGCACTCCTACCTCTCATCTCACTCCACACACACTCCTACCTCTCATCTCACTCCACTCCCCTCCCCCCACACACTCCTACCTCTCATCCCACTCCACTACCCCTCCACAACGCACTCCTACCTCTCATCTCACTCCACTCCCCCTCCACACGCACTCCTACCTCTCATCTCACTCCACTACCCCCTCCACACCACACTCCTACCTCTCATCTCACTCCACTACCCCTCCACACGCACTCCTACCTCTCATCTCACTCCACTACCCCTCCACACACACTCCTACCTCTCATCTCACTCCACTCCCCCTCCACACACACTCCTACCTCTCATCTCACTCCACTACCCCTCCACACACACTCCTACCTCTCATCTCACTCCACTCCCCCTCCACACACACTCCTACCTCTCATCTCACTCCACTCCCCCTCTCACACACACTCCTACCTCTCATCTCACTCCACTCCCCCTCCACACACACTCCTACCTCTCATCTCACTCCACTCCCCCTCCACACACACTCCTACCTCTCATCTCACTCCACTCCCCCTCCACACACACTCCTACCTCTCATCTCACTCCACTCCCCCTCCACACACACTCCTACCTCTCATCTCACTCCACTACCCCTCCACACGCACTCCTACCTCTCATCTCACTCCACTCCCTCTCCACACGCACTCCTACCTCTCATCTCACTCCGCTACTCCTCCACACGCACTCCGACCTCTCATCTCACTCCACTACCCCCTCCACACGCACTCCTACCTCTCATCTCACTCCACTCCCCCTCCACACGCACTCCTACCTCTCATCTCACTCCACTCCCCCTCCACACACACTCCTACCTCTCATCTCACTCCACTCCCCCTCCACACACACTCCTACCTCTCATCTCACTCCACTACCCCTCCACACGCACTCCTACCTCTCATCTCACTCCACTCCCCCTCCACACACACTCCTACCTCTCATCTCACTCCACTCCCCCTCCACACACACTCCTACCTCTCATCTCACTCCACTCCCCCTCCACACACACTCCTACCTCTCATCTCACTCCACTCCCCTCCACACACACTCCTACCTCTCATCTCACTCCACTCCCCCTCCACACACACTCCTACCTCTCATCTCACTCCACTACCCCTCCACACACACTCCTACCTCTCATCTCACTCCACTCCCTCTCCACACGCACTCCTACCTCTCATCTCACTCCGCTACTCCTCCACACGCACTCCGACCTCTCATCTCACTCCACTACCCCTCCACACACTCTGCGCTACAGAAACCGAGGCTTTCTGTCCAGCCCCGTTTCCGCACCTCGTCTGAGGTGTGGTCGTATTTAGATGCTATTTAAAATCCACATTTGTGTTGTACGGTAGTTGTATTGTGGTCGCTTCTCACACTGCTCCCCCCCCCCCCTGCCACGTCGCCTGCAGGACGGCGCTGGCGCGCTTCCGCCAGGCGCAGCTGGAGGAAGGGAAGGTGAAGGTAGGCGAGCACATTCCCACAGCCGTTGGGAATCGAGCCGATCCATTTGCGGGGATTTTTTTGTTTAACAAGGCCGTGTGGCTCCTTTTCACGAAGGAGCCGTACACTTTCACCTGAAACCACCTGTATGCAGGTGGAGCAACTGCATCGGAGCCCAAACACCGGTCCACGAAAAAAAGGCATTGATGCCATCGCCCCTCATCTCTTCCAACGCTTCTGCCCCCCGCCAGATTCTGCAGCTGCTGCACAGTAGATGCACAGTGCCCTCTAGGATCCGCCCTGACGGTCTCCCTGCGCCATCTGGCATTAGACTCGCACAGAGACCCACAGACTCACACAGAGACCCACAGACTCGCACAGAGACCCCCATAGATCTATCCTGACGGTCTCCTTGCACCATCACTCTACCCCTCGGTCGCTGCATTTGTGGAGACCACTCCCAACGCCCATCTCGGCAATCGGTCCTTTCCCATCCTCCTCACAAGCGCAGCTGTTATCGCCTAATTATATCAGGTCACAAAGAGAGAAATTGTAGAGGGGGCTTCCATTCATTACTCGCAGCAGGGCCCATTCCAAGCATGCCACCGGCCGTGTTGGCATCTGTTGTGACAAAACAATTGGGCAGTGGCGAGACACTCCCTTATTTAAACTTGTTACAACTTAACTGAACAAAACCTTTTATTAAAATTCTCAAAACACTACCTTTTTACAATGGTCTCCAACCGGCTACAAAGCACGTCCGTCCAAGACCGTTGCTTAAGGTGTACTGGGATCAACATGACAAATAGGATGAAACTGAACTTGATATGAAGAGACTTCGGATCCCAGGACCCATGGGCCTACGTGCGTCCGTGTGTGTGTGCGTGCATGTGTGCGTGTGTGCGTGCGTGTGTGTGTGTGCGTGCGTGCGTGCGTGCGTGCATGTGCGTGTGTGCGTGCGTGTGTGTGCGTGCATGTGCGTGTGTGCGTGCGTGCGTGTGTGCGTGCGTGTGCCATTGGCAGGAGCGGAGGCCGTACTTGGCGTCAGAGTGCGAGGATCTGCAGAAGTCTGAGAAATGGCGACGGCAGGTGAGGTCATGGGAAGCTGAGCGCGGGGTCACGGTTTGCACAGTGGGTGTATTCAGCGTCATAGCTGCCACGACTGTGCTCCAGCCCATTTCGACCAGTATAACGAAGTATGGTCAAAACGACCTCCACGGCAAGCGCGGTTTGGGGAGGACCTCGTCCAGCAGTGGATTGACGCAGGGCTGCGCGACTACTGCACCTAAATGGGAATGCATCTCGAGGTGCTGCACAGAAGCGGCCATAGGCAGGGAGTCGACAGCACACAGATCGCTGGGGGAACAGCTCTCGATGCTGGGGGGGGGGGGGGGTGAGAAGCCGTGCCCACGTTCGTGATTCAGCACTTTGGAGGTGAGGGTTGGTAGATCACGTCAAGATTTGCGAGGCACCCAAACTTGCTGGGCTGTTAGATGGCCAGTCCAGTAGGTGGCAGCACAGGAGCGCGGTCTTGGCTTTGCAGCTTTCGGTCTCTGTCCTTCACATGCGTGGTGAGCTTCTCCGAGGTTATTCGATTTCCTCCCAAACGGGAGGCAAACTTGGATGGAATTGGCCACTCATCCTGATGTAGCAGGACCCTCTACAGAACAAGCCTTGAATCTCAAGGAAAATTCCTGGGTGAAGGGCGTCGTTATCGAGCTGCAAGATTGAGCGCCGTGCCCCGAGCACGGCCGTTGACGTCTGTTGCGCGACCAGCCGGTGACCCTCCTGCCCTCTTTCCGCGTCTGCCCAGATCATCAGCGAAATCTCCAAGAAGGTGGCCCAGATCCAGAATGGTGAGTGGGGGTGGTGGGGATGGGGGGGGGGTGCATTGCTGGGGTCTTGGTGAGAGCTGGTAGCATTGTCGAAGCCGTGTTTTTATTGTATTACTGGTAATTGCATGAAATTAAATTACCTGGTAAAAACTGGTAAATACTAGTTTGCCACACAGCAGTAAACACAACATGTTTATCTTTTCAACTGAGAAACTAAGGCAGGTGCCGCAGCAGAGTAGTGGTTACCAGCACTGGACTGGCAAGGCAGAGGATCCAGGTTCAATTCCCACTCCTGCCATGGCAGATCGTGCTAGTCTTAAGTCCCCTCCACCTCTATACACCCAGAAGCATAAATTGGTATCGCCAAAGTTGAATCGCAATCGGCAGCTCATGTCACTCAGTGCATTCATTCATGAAATTGCCCATTCTCTTTCCTCCCCCCGCCCCTCCGTTTCTTCCCTCGACTAACCCCGTACGCACCCCTCTATCGTGGTCACCCATTCCTCACCACTTGCATGCAACTGCCATCTAAATAACTTATTTTGTCAAGCACCTTGAACAAAGGCACTTTGTAAATATAAAGTAAGATTCCACTGGAAATGGTTACTGATTTCCGACTTTCAGAACCGATAACAGATTCTGAAAATGATTAGCAGTTAACTGGATGTCGTTGAGCAACCCTGTGAGCCGGTGTGGGTGCTGGCATGCACGTTGGTTCCACGTGCCTGTCGCTGTGCCAGTCCATGTGCCTGTGTGTGTTGGGGTGCGGTGGCGTGGTGGTTAGCGCGCTGCGCCACAAACCCGGCAACCCGAGTTCGATTCCCGCTCACGACCACATCGGTGACAAGTGTCTGAACCAGCCTCTGGCCTCCTGTAGGTTAAATGAGTTCCAAGTGCCATGTGTAAACATCAGCATTGGTGAGACAAAGGCGACCAGGCGTGGTATTAGCCATACCGCCCTCTCTTGCGCCATGCCCAGCGTTCATAGTTGACGGCCAAAGCATTTGCCTCAAAAGTCAGTGTTGGTTACACGGGGCATCTATCTCTTTGGGTGTGTGTACTTGTGGGTGTGATTGTGGAGGTTTTTGCAAATAGGTGTGTGTGAGTATATGTATAGGTGGTGGGCCTCAATGCGCACCTATCCTGGCACAAGCGCTCTGGTGATGTCACCGCCGCTCAGCGGCGAATGGCATCCGCCGTTGTTGGTGGTGGTGCGAGCGTGCGCCTCTGTGCTGACGTCACGCCGTCTTCCCTTGCGTCTGCCTCTCTGCGAGCAGCGGGTCTGGGCGAATTCCGGATCCGCGACCTCAACGATGAGATCAACAAGCTGCTACGCGAGAAAGGCCACTGGGAGGCACGAATCCTGGAGCTGGGAGGACCCGACTACGGGGTACGCGCTGCCGCAGTGCCGCACTACACACGGTGTCACAACCGCCGCTGCTCCGCACGATGCCGGGCGGTGGTGGGAAACCGTCGGACATCATGCCAAGCGACGTGTCATACAACAAGATAAAACACGGGAGAGCATTATAATTATCTTGTAGGGTTTCTCGGCCATTGTGATTCATAATTGCGTTACCACGTATCTCTATATTCCTACATTTTGCAGTGAGAATTGTCCTGGAACAACAATCGACACGCAGTTAGACGCGTGTATACACACGACATTTAATATTTTTGGCCGTGTCGGGTTGGCTCTACCAGACGTCTACCGTGAAGATGGAGCGGTAAGAGCAGTCCCACGCTCAGGTCCTGGATGGAATGTGTGATCGTGGGATGGTGGCGGCCGTGGCTTGGGGGGAGGCGTTTATCCAGCAGTAGATTGACCATGGCTGATTATGATCTCTGGTTGTGATCATGTATATTTGGCCAGATCGTGGCCTAACACAAAGATCCGTGATCAATCTGTATTATTGTTACTGTTGGTGTTGCGCTCACTCTGGTCCCCACTCTCCAGAGGATCGGTCCCAAGATGCTGGACCACGAGGGGAAGGAGGTCCCGGGGAACCGTGGCTACAAGTACTTTGGGGCAGCTCGCGAGCTACCCGGAGTCCGCGAGCTCTTTGACCAGGAGCGTGAGTGGCGCAGGCAACCACAACCGCACAACCGCACAACCAGAAAACCACACAACCAGAAAACCACACAACCGTACAATGGACTTAGAGGAAATATGATGTACCGAGGTTCTTCAGCTGCTGAGCCAGATGACACGCAGACACATAACACACAGACACAAAGATGTAAAAACACATACAGACAAAGATTACCCGTATAGCATTAACAGACTGTTGGGGCAATTACTGTCAGTGAGCACCTATGAAGGCTGGAGCGGCGTACGAGAGCGTGGTGGCCAGCACCACGCCCGGCCTCCTTCGGCTCCCCAATTACGATGTTTACACTCCGCATTTAAGGCTGAGTCTACCACGGGGAGGCCCAGGACCGGTTCAGATATTCGCCACTGTTATTGTCCAGGAGCGGGAAACGAACCCGGGTCGTCATGTTCGTAGTGCAGTTGCACTAACCCGACGTCACCATTTCCCCGAGACACACAAGACTCCATTTGCCACACCGACGCTCGTGAGCGAGATGGCCGGCACTGCCGTGCGACACGACCGAATGAGTGGACGCCGAGTCAGCAGTGATGACCGTGTGCCCCCCTGCCCCCCCCACCCCCCCCAGCCCTGAAGGCCCCCCGCAAGACGCGTGGGGAGCTCATGAAGGACATCGACGCCGACTACTACGGCTACCGCGATGAGGACGACGGCGTGCTGGTGCCACTCGAGCAGGCGCTTGAGAAGGAGGGTGAGGGGGGGCGCATGTGCCGTCTTGCGCTCACCAGCCCTCGCACTCACCCCCAGCACTCACACTACACCCCCAGCACTCACACTCACCCCCAGCACTCGCACTCACCCCCAGCACTCACCCCCAGCACTCGCACTCACCCCCAGCACTCGCACTCACCCCCAGCACTCACACTCACCCCCAGCACTCGCACTCACCCCCAGCACTCGCTCTCACCCCCAGCACTCGCACTCACCCCAGCACTCGCACTCACCCCCAGCACTCACCCCCAGCACTCGCACTCACCCCCAGCACTCACCCCCAGCACTCGCACTCACCCCCAGCACTCACCCCCAGCACTCGCACTCACCCCCAGCACTCACCCCCAGCACTCGCACTCACCCCCAGCACTCACCCCCAGCACTCGCACTCACCCCCAGCACTCCACATCACCAGCACTCGCACTCACCCCCAGCACTCCGCACTCACCCCCAGCACTCGCACTCACCCCAGCACTCGCACTCACCCCCAGCACTCGCACTCACCCCCAGCACTCACCCCAGCACTCACACTCACCCCCCAGCACTCACCCCCAGCACTCGCACTCACCCCTAGCACTCGCACTCACCCCCAGCACTCACCCCCAGCACTCACCCCCAGCACTCGCACTCACCCCCAGCACTCGCACTCACCCCCAGCACTCGCACTCACCCCCAGCACTCGCACTCACCCCCAGCACTCACCCCCAGCACTCACCCCCAGCACTCGCACTCACCCCCAGCACTCGCACTCACCCCCAGCAACTCGCTACCCACCCCCAGCACTCACCCCCAGCACTCACCCCCAGCACTCACACTCACCCCCAGCACTCACACTCACCCCCCAGCACTCACACTCACCCCCAACACTCACCCCCAGCACTCGCACTCACCCCCAGCATTCACACTCACCCCCAGCACTCGCACTCACCCCCAGCATTCACACTCACCCCCAGCACTCGCACTCACCCCCAGCACTCACACTCACCCCCAGCACTCACACTCACCCCCAGCATTCACACTCACCCCCAGCATTCACACTCACCCCCAGCACTCGCACTCCACCCCAGCACTCGCACTCACCCCCAGCACTCGCATCACCCCCAGCATTCACACTCACCCCCAGCACTCGCACTCACCCCCCAGCACTCACACTCACCCCCAGCACTCACACTCACCCCCAGCACTCGCACTCACCCCCAGCATTCACACTCACCCCAGCCATCGCACTCACCCCCAGCACTCGCACTCACCCCCAGCACTCGCACTCACCCCCAGCACTCGCACTCACCCGCATCACCCCAGCACTCCACTCACCCCAGCACTCACACTCACCCCCAGCACTCACACTCAACCCCAGCACTCACATCACCCCCAGCACTCACACTCACCCCAGCACTCACACTCACCCCCAGCACTCACACTCACCCCCAGCACTCACACCCCCACCCCCACTCACTCTCACCCCCTGCACTCGCACTCACCCCCACACTCGCACTCACCCCCAGCACTCGCACTCACCCCCAGCACTCGCACTCACCCCAGCACTCACCCCCAGCACTCGCACTCACCCCCAGCACTCACCCCCAGCACTCGCACTCACCCCCAGCACTCACCCCCAGCACTCACCCACCCCAGCACTCACACTCACCCCCAGCACTCACACTCACCCCCAGCACTCACACTCACCCCCAGCACTCACACTCACCCCAGCACTCGCACTCACCCCCAGCACTCACCCCCAGCACTCACCCCCAGCACTCGCACTCACCCCCAGCACTCGCACTCACCCCCAGCACTCGCACTCACCCCCAGCACTCGCACTCACCCCCAGCACTCACCCCCAGCACTCGCACTCACCCCCAGCACTTGCACTCACCCCCAGCACTCGCACTCACCCCCAGCACTCGCACTCACCCCCAGCACTCACCCCCAGCACTCACCCCCAGCACTCACACTCACCCCAGTACTCTAGCTAGTAGCCTCACCAGCAGGCCTCGCCAGCAGGCCTCGCCGACACGCAGTCACCGACAGCCTCGCCATCAGCCTCTCATACCAGCACCAAGCCTCGCCACCTTTTCTTACCGTCACCATCGGCCCTCGCTCGCAAACACCACCACCACAACCCTCACCACCGACTTCCTTATTCTCGCGAGTCCTCAAGCTCACCAGCTCTAATCCTGACCACCAGCATCGACCCTTGACCACCATTCTTCTCTCACCAGCAGGCTCACCACTAGCCCTCACCCATAGCACACAAAGAACGCTGTTCTCACTAGCAACACTACAGGATGGGCCCTGGCTCATGGGCGAAGACTATTTCGGTACGCACGCTCAATTTGGTTCCCACAGGTGGTCACCGACACGCTTCGACCGATCGCCATCAAACTCCGTCCTGCGCCGCGCACTTGAGAAACTTTAGACGTTTGACAGATGGACACCTTGTGGCACGGTGGGGCCAACGGGCGTGGCGTTGACTACCGCGTGAACGATCGGCGCTCCTTGCGGTGCCGGCCCCCATGTGCGAGGTGGCGGTTGGCAGAGCGTTTGCGTTGCGTGCGGTTGCCGCAGTGGTCGCGCAGGCGGTGGCGCGCTGGCGCGAGGAGCGAGAGGCCCGAGCGGCCGCTGGCGGGGACAAGACGGCCGCGGCGCAGGAGAGAGGAGGAGGACATCTACGCGGTGACGAGAGGCGAGGTGAGCGGCGGGTAACGAGTTTCCGTCGTGATCGGCGTCGCCGTGGTAACCGTAGCAGCGGCGGCATTTCGGTGGTAACCTTGCTCCATGCATCCCATGCGCTGCCCCCCCCCCCCCCCCCAGTCGGATGAGGATGAGGAAGAGGGCAGTGGCGGGGAGACGCGGGACAAGCAGCAGCAGCACTTCATCGCTCACGTCCCGGTGCCCACACAGAAGGAGGTGAGGGCCCTGGGTGTGGTGTGTGAGTGGGTGAATCAGAGGGTATGGGTGAATGGGGGGTGAGTGCATAAATGAGTGGTTGAGTGGGTGGGTGAATGAGTGTGTGGATCAGTAAATGAGTGGGTCGGTGTGTATTAGTTGGTGCATGAGTGAATGGGTGGGTAAGTGAATCGTTGAGTGAATGGGTGAGTGAATGAGTAGTTGAGTCGGCGAGATAGTCTGTTGTTGAGACCATACAGTGGTTGACCACCACTGTATGGATGAGACGATATGGCTCGTCCGGTGGACCCATTTACCAACATGTGCCATGCATGTGTTTGCCATGTCGAAATAAAGACAAACGTACCCCGTATCGCCTTAACAGACTGAGCAGCTGTGAAGGCTGCCACGGCACACGAGGGGGTGGGTGGTGGCCAGCACCGCGTCCAGATGCCTTTGTTTCCCCAGTCGCGATGTTTACGCATCTCACGAGGTAATCATTTGAGGCCGAGTCGACCTAGGGGAGGCCCAAGACAGATTTAGATAAGTCACTGGCATTGACCGTGAGCGTTAATCGAACTCGGGTCACCAGGTCATGGCGCAGCGCGCTAACCACTCCCCCGCGCCGCACAGGTGGAGGAGGCGCTGCTCCAGCGCAGGAAGATGGAACTGCTGGCCAAGTACGCCAGCGAGACGCTGCAGGCGCAGAGCCAGGAGGCTCGCTGCCTGCTGGGCCTGTAGGCGGCCGCCGCCGCGTGTACATACCCCGGGCAGCCTCCCACGTTTTTGTAATAAAGCTTCAGATGAAATCGTGGCGGGCCTCACATTCCTCGTGTGTCCTGTCGAGTGCTTGGGTGCAACTGTGACCGCCGCACGTGCCGTCGTGTCTGCCGCACGTGCCGTCGTGTCTGCGTGGTGTTTGCGTCCCACGGTCTTGAGTCAGACTCGCCCTCGCTTCGCTATCGTTTTTATTTTCGCTCCCAGCGCTGGGAATATTC